GACCAGTGAGTGTAGTGAACCAGTGAGTGTGGGTGGTACAGTGGGTGTGGGTGGTACAGGTGTAGGTGGTACAGTGGGTGTGGGTGGTACAGTGGGTGTAGTGAACCAGTGGTCAGTGGGTGGTACAGTGGGTGTAGGTGGACCAGTGAGTGTGGCAGTAGGTGGTACAGTGGGTGTAGGTGGTACAGTGGGTGTAGGTGGACCAGTGAGTGGGGGTGAACCAGGGGTGTAGGTGGCATGGTGAGTGTAGGTGGTGCAGTGGGTGGGTGAACCAGTGGGTGTAGGTGGTGGCAGTGGGTGTAGGTGGTACAGTGGTGTAGGTGGTGCCAGTGGGTGTAGGTGAACCAGTGGGTGTGGGTGACCATTGAGTGTAAGGGTGGTACAGGTGTGGGTGTGGACCAGTGGGTGTAGGTGAACCAGTGGGTGTAGGTACAGTGAGTGTAGGTGGACCAGTGAGTGGGGTGGACCAGTGGGTGTAGGTGGACCAGTGGGTGTAGGTGAACCAGTGGGTGTAGGTGGAACCAGTGAGGGGTGGTACAGTGGGTGTAGGTGGACCAGTGAGTGGGTGGACCAGTGGGTGTAGGTGACCAGTGGGTGTGGGTGAACCAGTGGGTAGGTGGTACAGTGAGTGTAGGTGGTACCAGTGGTGTAGGTGAACCAGTGGGTGTAGGTGTGTCAGTGTGGGTGTAGGTGAACCAGTGGGTGTAGGTGGACCAGTGGGTGTAGGTGGTGACCAGTGGGTGTAGATGGTAAAGTGGGTGTAGGTGGACCAGTGGGTGTAGGTGACCAGTGAGTGTAGGTGACCAGTGGGTGTAGGTGACCAGTGGGTGTAGGTGGACCAGTGAGTGTAGGTGAACCAGTGGGTGTAGGTGGTGCAGTGTGGGGTGGACCAGTGGGTGTGTGGAAGTGGTGTAGTGGGTGCAGCAGTGGGTGTAGTGGACCGGTGAGTGTAGGTGGACCAGTGGTGTAGGTGACCAGTGGTGGGGGACCAGTGAGTGTAGGTGAACCAGTGGGTGTAGGTGAACCAGGGGTGTAGGTGACCAGTGAGTGTGGGACCAGTGTGTGGTGACCAGTGGGTAGGTGAACCGTGGGTAGGTGGTAAGCGAGTGTGTAGGTGGTACAGTGTGTGTATGAACCAGTGGGGGTGGGCAGTGGGTGTAGGTGGTACAGTGGGTGTAGGTGAAACAGCAGTGTGTAGGTGGACCAGTGGGTGTAGGTGAACCAGTGTGTACATGGCACAGTGGGGTGGGACCAGTGGGAGTGTAGGTGGACCAGTGAGTGTAGGTGGGACCAGTGGGTGTGGGTGACCAGTGGGTGTAGGTGACCAGTGTAGGTGGTACAGTGGGTGTAGGTGGGTGGCTATGGGTGTAGGTGGCAAGGTGGGTGTAGGTGACCAGTGGGGTGTAGGTGAACCAGTGTGTAGGTGAACCAGTGAGTGTAGATGGTACAGTGGGTGTAGGTGGACCAGTGAGGTAGGTGGACCAGTGAGTGTAGGTGGGTTCAGTGGGGTGGTGGCCAGTGGGTGGTGGAGAGTGTGGTGACCAGTGGGTGTAGGTGAACCAGTGGGTGTAGGTGGGTTCAGTGGGTGTAGGTGGTACAGTGGGTGTAGAGATGGTGTTGAGTGGGTGGTACCAGTGAGTGTAGTGGACTCATGTGTAGGTGGGACCAGTGGTGTAGGTGACCAGTGGGTAGGTGACCAGTGGGTGGGGACTAGTGGTGTAGGTGGTGACCAGTGAGTGTAGTGGGACAGGGTGTAGGTGGTGAGTGGGTGTAGGTGGGACCAGTGGGTGTAGGGGACCAGTGGGGTGTAGGGGTGGGAGTGCGTGTGGTAGAGTGTTGTTATGTGATCTTGTTACTGCCTGTTGTTCTTTGTTTGCTTGGTCTGACGTGTATTTATTGTCTGTGGTGGTGGGTCAGTTGGTGGTGGTGTGTATGGTTAGTGTGGTGTGGCTAGTGTCAAGTGTGGTGGTGTGTAGTGTGGTGGTGGTGTCTAGTGTGGTGTGGTGGTGGTGATCTAGTGTGGTGTGTGGTGGTTCAGCAGTGGTAGTAGTGGTGTGGTGTGTAGTGGTGGATATAGCAAAGTGGTAGTGTGGTGGTGGTGTGTGTGGGTAGTGGTGGTGGTGTGGTGTGTGGTAGTGGTGGTGTGTGTGTGGTGTGGTAGTGGTGGTGTAGTGTGGGTGTGAGTGGTGTAGTGTGGTAGTGGGTGGTGTAGTGTGGGTAGTGGTGTGTAGTGTGGTAGTGGTGGTGTAGTGGTGGTGTAGTGTGGTAGTGGTGTAATGTGGTGTAGTGGTGGTAATATGGTGGTGTAGTGGTGGTGTAGTGTGGTGTGTGGTGTGGTGGTGTAGTGTGGTAGTGGTGGTGTAGTGTAGTGGTGGTGTAGTGTGGTAGTGGTCTCAGGTTTCTCATCTGATTTTCTGCCTCATTTACACACAACTGCAGGGTTTCAATTTTGTCTCTTCCTTTGACAACACAACATACATACCTGTATATCGTTTCTCACTATTGATTTTTTATTATTATTAGTATTAGTAGTATTATATTTGTATTTAATATTTGTTTTCTAGATTATTTTTTATTAATTTATATTTTGTTATTATTTCTATTATTTATATACTGTATTTATTTATTTATTTATTTTATTTATTTATTTATTTATTTATTTATTTATTTATTTTTGCACCGCGGCCTGATGTGGGTCATTGACCTGTGCCCTGGTGAGCTAATCCCGTAAACAAAAATTAAAATAAATAAATACTTCATATTTTCTCCCCAACCTCCTCCTTCTCATTCTTCTCCCATATTGTTTTTATTTTTCCCTCTTTGACTCCCCTTCTCATCATCAATATTTTATCACCTTTTCACACTTCTGTGGGTAAGATACACGTGTGTCGTCTCTCTTGCCAGATTCTTAACTCTAATGTGATTTCTGATTTCTTACAGCCTCTTTCTTAATATTCTTAATCACAATTTGCTTATTTCTGACTAAATATCTGTAATGTCTACTGGCCCAAGTGTCCCCGTGAGCTAGTATCCCAAGTGTCCCCGTGAGCTAGTGTCCCTAGTGTCCCCATGAGCTAGTATCCCTAGTGTCTCCATGAGCTAGTATCCCTAGTGTCTCCATGAGCTAGTATCCCTAGTGTCTCCATGAGCTAGTATCCCTTAGCGCTTCCACAGAGCTAGTGTCCCTAGTGTCCCCATGAGCTAGTATCCCTAGTGTCTCCATGAGCTAGTATCCCTAGTGTCTCCATGAGCTAGTATCCCTAGTGTCTCCATGAGCTAGTATCCCTAGTGTCTCCATGAGCTAGCATCCCTAGTGTCCCCATGAGCTAGTATCCCTAGTGTCTCCATGAGCTAGTATCCCAAGTGTCTCCAGGAGCTAGTATCCCTAGTGTCCCCATGAGCTAGTATCCCTAGTGTCTCCATGAGCTAGTATCCCAAGTGTCTCCAGGAGCTAGTATCCCTAGTGTCTCCATGAGTTAATATCCTTAGTGTCCCCATGAGCTAGTATCCCTAGTGTCCCCATGAGCTAGTATCCCTAGTGTCTCCATGAGCTAGTATCCCAAGTGTCTCCAGGAGCTAGTATCCCTAGTGTCTCCATGAGCTAGTATCCCTAGTGTCTCCATGAGCTAGTGTCCCTAGTGTCTCCATGAGCTAGATCCTCAGTGTCCCCTGGAGCCAGTATCCCAAGTGTCCCCGTGAGCTAGTATCCCAAGTGTCCCCGTGAGCTAGTGTCCCTAGTGTCCCCATGAGCTAGTATCCCTAGTGTCTCCATGAGCTAGTATCCCTAGTGTCTCCATGAGCTAGTATCCCTAGTGTCTCCATGAGCTAGTATCCCTAGTGTCTCCATGAGTTAATATCCCTAGTGTCCCCATGAGCTAGTATCCCAAGTGTCTCCAGGAGCTAGTATCCCTAGTGTCTCCATGAGCTAGTATCCCTAGTGTCTCCATGAGCTAGTATCCCTAGTGTCTCCATGAGTTAATATCCCTAGTGTCTCCATGAGCTAGTATCCCTAGTGTCTCCATGAGCTAGTATCCCTAGTGTCCCCAGGAGCTAGTATCCCTAGTGTCCCCATGAGCTAGTATCCCTAGTGTCCCCATGAGCTAGTATCCCCTAGTGTCTCCATGAGCTAGCACTCAGTGTCCCCTGAGCCAGTATCCTAGTGTCTCCATGAGCGCATCCCTAGTGTCCCCTGAGCTAGTATCCCTAGTGTCTCCAGGAGCTAGTATCCCAAGTGTCTCCATGAGCTAGTATCCCAAGTGTCTCCATGAGCTAGTATCCCTAGTGTCTCCATGAGCTAGTATCCCTAGTGTCTCCAGGAGCTAGTATCCCAAGTGTCTCCATGAGCTAGTATCCCAAGTGTCTCCATGAGCTAGTATCCCTGGTGTCTCCATGAGCTAGTATCCCTAGTGTCCCCAGGAGCTAGTATCCCTAGTGTCTCCATGAGCTAGTATCCCTAGTGTCTCCATGAGCTAGTATCCCTAGTGTCCCCAGGAGCTAGTATCCCTAGTGTCTCCATGAGCTAGTATCCCTAGTGTCCCCAGGAGCTAGTATCCCTAGTGTCTCCATGAGCTAGTATCCCTAGTGTCCCCATGTGTTCTACTTGTGTCCCATGTGCTTGAGTGGAGTAACAGTCTGGTGTACAATACTGATTATGGACACTGAACACGTACTTGGAGACTTCCTGTTTTTATATAAAGTGATGACATTTTGATCTAGTCCTGTATAGTAGTTTTTCTCCACGACATATGCCATGGAAGATACTGTCCCATCAGTAGATATAAACTGTATACTGCGTTAACTTCTTTACCACCCAAGTTTATTTGAAGGATTTAGCAAAATATATACAGCTTAGAGCAGTAGAATTTTGTATGTTTTTTTATGTGTAGTTTTGTATTCCCTTTTTTATTTTTATGCTAATTATTTTTTTCTACAGTTAAGATATTTGCATTATCTCACATTTTTTTATGAGAATTTGCTCTAACTTTGGACGAACATTTCAGCTGCTAATGTAACGACGCTAGGAGATGGAGGATGTCCAGAAGGAAAATTCAGTTGCAACAATGGCCTGTGTGTGGACTTTAGCAGACTGTGCAACTTCCAGAATGACTGTGGAGACTTCTCAGATGAACACCTCTGTAGTAAGTGAACACTCAAATCTGTCTCCTCTTACCTTCTGCTATATTCACTGTTATTTAATGAAAGTTTCTGAGGGAATCATTTACTTCTACCATATATGGCTACTGGTGTAAAAACTATATTTTTGGGAACTATTTTCTCATTATTATTCCTTTTTGCTGTTAATTGTGAATGGGTACACACAGGCAAACTTCAAATCTGTTGTATTTTTGCTGTTGTCAGGGATTCCTTCTGATTTTCTTCATGCTTCTGTAATTCCTTTGATCACTTGTTTCCCTTTTCCCGTGTGATTTTATCAAGATTTATCTTATCCACGTTTTCATTGTGGATCTACATGAAACGTACGTGTGTGTGTGTGATTTTTTAACTTGCCATTAATTTTCGAGTCAGTGGCAACATTCTTCCATTGTTTGTCAACGGTTTTCAATTGTGGTACAGTACAGTAGTACTTTTTCCTGTGGTCTCATAAAACGGGCCTCTGAAAGACTTCAGCAATCAAAGATTTAAGAAAATCCATGACCGTGGGTGGATGATTGTTGGTTCCTGACCCAAGGATTCATGCAACTGAAGAAGTGACGATCAAAATATTTAATCGCAGCTTCCAGATCACGCGTCTAGTTCCCGCCTCCTGGTCGCTTGACAAATGCTTCATGCATCTACGTGGGACACATCAAAGAAAACAAATATGTTTGTCCGCTACACCAAGGTAGTACGTTTACTCGTGTGGATGCTCGATGCCGCAGGACGCTCGCACATGAGACGTAACCTTACTCAATCATAAGAGTCTGTATTTTATTCTCAAATGCTGCTTTTTGGTCTGAAGAAAGTGCCATCTGTGCAGGTTGAGGGAAAGGCTTACTAGGGTTTGGTGGGCGGTGGTAAAGGAACCAAACTTAGGGCGATGGTTTGTGATGCTCCAGTGTCCTGCATTATTATGAATCTACTTTGTGTCAGGAGAACTTCCTATTCTCCAGCATTTCTTAGAAAAGTCTAATCTTGATTTTAGAGCTAGGCTTTTCAAGTAGGCATTTATGCTTTTGTATTAGACTGCCTTAAAGGTTCTGTCATTACAACTCCAAGTCCATAATTTGGCAGTAGGAAGAATTACCAAACAGGTGACCTTGCCAATCTAGCTACAAGAAAACTTGTCTCCTGTCACACTGTTAAACTATGAAGTTAAATATTGTAACTTGAGGGATATGATTGGAAGGCTAACTTTTTAAAGCTGATGGTTGGTTGGTTCTCCAGGAGACTTGTGTGCCGAAATGTGAAATCTCTGGCATTCCCCTCTTCATATGGGACTGTGCCAAGGTCTGTGATCTAGCCTTGAGGTCTAGGGTCCTTCATCAGGTTTTAGGTCATTTCAGAAAGAGTAAGGATTCTTGTTAACAAGTTCCCAAAGAGATGTGGTTTATAAATAGAGGATTGACCTTGAATTTTTGTTTTTTATCAAGTCAGGATTAGGGAGGATTGTTATCTCTCCCTCATGTCTTGAAGGTGCTGAGATGTGCTGAATTGGGGACGGGGGGGGGTTGACCAGGTTTGAGCGCTTGGTAACTCCCTATATATCTAGTCCCACAGAACTAGAGATATAGGGATATACAGTACAGTATATAGTCTCAGGCCTTGCTCACTATACAGAGGTGTGCAATCCTAACTTGATTATAAAATGGGATTTCAGGATCAGTCCATGTTTTTGGATGCAGTTTTTAATTATTGAGTGCAGTATAATCTTCCATTTCACATTACAGGTATTTGTTTTACTAATAGATGAGGCATTATTCTCACATAATTAGTAAACTTTTCTCTTCTTTCTAGACATCAATGAGTGTAATCAGACTCGTGCAGTCTGTGCTCATAAATGTATTGATAAGAAAATTGGTTATGCTTGTGAATGCAACGAAGGCTTTGCCATTGATCCAAAAGACTCCAAATTGTGTGAGGATATTAATGAGTGTGCAGACTTTCCGTGCCCACACATCTGTCACAATACTTTGGGCTCCTACAAGTGTATCTGTGCCACTGGTTACATATCAGAGCAAGATGGCCACAAGTGCAGAGCAAACTCCAGTAAGTATCATAATAAAAAGAGCTGTGAAATAAGAATTTTATAGAAGTTATAAAGAAATTCATAATTGCCTATTACTATAATAATTGAAATGATTTTACATCGTTGAAATGAGTATTTGATGCTTGTTTCCTAGTCATGAAATTACAGTGCAGTAGTTGTGTAAATATATATTTTGTATAGCCATGCCAAGGAGATATGTGATGTATCATGTCTAAAGTTGCATCCCAGACTCACCCTGGACATTGATGTATGTATAACCCTGAATAGTCAGTAAACTGGAAATTCTCCACCCTGGGGTTTTTTTGCCGCAATCCAGATGTACTGAGGCCTTGTGTTGGAAATTCAGTATGGTTGACAATGAAATAAAAAAAATGTATATGTCAGCTGCTGTAACATCAAGACTTGATAAATTCTCAGCACTTTTTGAGGACTAGGATTGCAGTGGAAGTGTTGTTGTAATTGTTTAAATTCGTTCCAACCGTCAATGTTTAGGGTTAGGCTGGGTTGATGTAATGGGTATAATCATGAGTACATGGTGTGACTCGGATACAAAATGGGACTCTGTGACGATCCTTGATTTTATTTTCAGCGGTGAAACCCAAACTCATATTCACCAATCGCTATTACATTCGTGAAATAAATATTGATGGAACAAACAGTAGACTGCTGGTTGCCAACTTGACCAATGCTGTTGGCCTTGACTATGATTTTGTGGAGAACTGCATCTATTGGTCAGATGTGACTCACCTCTCATCATCAGTGAAGAAGATGTGTAACAACAGCCAACCCATTGTAAGATATTTATATCTTTGGCAATTTATAGCATTTCTATACAAATTAGTTTGTGACTAGACTTTAATAATTGATAGCCCCACTCTTTATAAACCTGTATAAAACTGTGGTTCACACACCAGAAATATTTTACTTTCAAGCTGACCCATGCTTGTGTAACTTTTGACCAGTTCTTGTTCACCCCTTTGTTGTTTATATTTGTGTGTGGTTTTTGCTTTGAATGAATTTAATGTGTGGCAATATTTTTTTAGGTACTACATTCAGCTGCCCAGAGTCCTGATGGAATTGCTCTGGACTGGGTTGGACGTAACTTGTACTGGTGTGACAAGGGCAAAGACACCATTGAGGTGTGCAAGTTAGATGGCCAGTACAGGAAGGTTCTCATTGATAAAGGCCTGCAAGATCCAAGAGCTATTGTTCTTGACCCATTCCATGGGTTAGTAGGAATTCCTCAGTACACTTTTAAACTTTTTTAGCATCTGCAGTAAGAAATATTTTCAGATGCATTGATGAGTTGTACTGTAGTACACAGTTCACCAAAATTTTATATACAATAATTCAATATGTCTTCTTTTTACAGTAATATGTTCTGGACAGATTGGGGAAACCAACCCCATATTGGTAAGGCCGGAATGGATGGTTCACATCAACGGATCATTGTTAATTCTTCTCTGGGTTGGCCTAATGCTCTCACCATCTCGTATGCAACCAATGAACTTTTTTGGGCTGACGCTCACCAGGACTATATTGCCCATTCAGATCTTGAAGGGAAGAACATCAGGATCATTAGTGATAGAGGTAATGGTCTCTCTTATTGTAATTTTATGCTAAGTTTATTACATACAAGTTTATAATTAATGTACTTGTGTCAAAGATTTAATACTTCACCTTCAGGTTGAAGCTAAAGTTTGTCACAAATTAGATGGATGTTACCTTCCTAGGTTTCCTCATAGTTGAGTATCATAATCACAAAAAATGGTACTGTATATATATTAATATCTCAAAGATTATAAAAACATGTGGAGGATCAATGTACAGTCAGCCAAAGATGCACCGACCCCACCCTGGGCCTCGTGCTCACAAATTTACCTGGCACTATTTGGTAAAGGAAGGCTGTATGTAAAGGTGATTGTGATTGGTGGATCTGCTTCCGGCTGTATCACTGTCAGGATAAATATTAAAGAAACCAAAGGTAGAATTTTTTTATTATAATAAACTATTCATTGTTATTTAAGGTCATAAAGTTTCCTGATGTTTGTATATTTGTTTAAGTAATGAAGAAAATTTGATGTGAGAATCTTGTGGCAGCTGTGGTTGTAGTTGAGTTGCCAATTCATTAATATAATTTTCTTCATTATTTAAGCAAATACGTATACAAAAATTTGGAAACTTCTAATGATCTTAAATAACAATGAATAGTTTATTATTATAAAAATTCGACCTTTGGTTTGTTTAATAATTATCCTGACAGTGACACAGCCAAAAACAGATCCACCAATCACAATCACCTTTACATACAGCCTTCTTTTACCAAGTAGTGCCAGGTAAAATTGCGAGCATGAGATCCAGGGTGGGGTCGGTGCATCTTTGGCTGACTGTACAGTAAATAGAAAGTTGCTAGACATATTCTCTTAACACGGGCTGTTTTCCTTCTTCCTTAGACACAGCACCCAAACATGTGCAGCACATCTTCGCCATCACTGTCTTTGAAGACTATTTGTACTGGACCGACTGGGAGCTGAAGAGTGTCTTGCGATCAAAAAAGTACTCTGGCAAGGACACCCAAAATATATATAATGCTGTTCACAGTCCAATGGACATCCATATTTACCATCCCTTCAGACAACAACCGTGTAAGTTACTGTAACTTTTATTCTCTTCTTCATTCATTTAGATCTTTTTCATGATAATACACAGTGGCTGATCAGAAACAAACACATATGCTCCCTTTGCTCGCTGTCTTTCACTCACTTTTATTGCACCCAGGATCAGTATTTTGAACTTCAGATGTTTTTAATACAATTCTGAACATTTACACAGCAAAATTTTAGGATTCAGTTGCTTCAGGTATAAAATGCAGTATTGCATCAATTTACCTAACTAATTATTGTATTAAATGGTCTGGAACGGTGATTATAGCAGAATTTCCACTGTTCCATCATCATCAATGTTCATGATGATAATGGAACAGTGAAAATTCTGTGATAACCAAGATTTTGCCCAGCAGCACACTCCTCCCTCCCAATACAAAATAATCCTGTGTACTTGAAATAATTGAGGCATTCATGTGTTTAGGAATACTATATGAACAATTTATCTGGTACCTAGTTCTGCATTTTTATTTAAGATACACCCTAAGGTATTATTACAGTTCTAAAGATATTTATAAATACAGTCTGTTTATGGACTGTACACTAGTATAAGTTTATCAATCAAGGTGACAACCTCATGTCTGAGGATTGGCAACCATGGCCATCCACTCGAAATTTCTAGGGCTAGCTTTACTCCCGGTAGTTCTTTCTTGTATATATTTATATATATTTATATATTTATTTTTATTTTTATATTTATATTTATATTTATAATTATATTTATTTAATTTTTTTTTTTATTGTTGATATGACTGCGACTTTACAGTACAGTAATAACTTACAAGCACCTCACCAGGCATCACACGCGACTCCATTGCCACCTGTTGGTGTATCAAGTTTATGGTCACGGAAACCTGATTTTTTTTTTTTTTTTTTTAAACAGCAGAAACAGTGAATTGACATCTTTCACATAGACCTTAACATTCCAGTCATTTTTTATGTATTTTTAATCCCCAAGTCTCATTTTTATGACAGTGGCAAACAACCCTTGTGAAAACAATGGAGGATGTGACACCATGTGTCTTCTGGCCCCTGATGGTGGCAAGACTTGCACATGCCCTGAGAACTTCCTCCTGAGTGAAGATGGTGTGTCCTGTCATAGTAACTGCCTCAACTCTATGTTTGTTTGCGAATCTACTTACAAGTGCATTCCATTTTGGTGGAAGTGTGACACCCAGGTAAATTTTTTCCTTAAGTTGAGTAAAGCTTAAAATGACAATTCTATTAATCTAAATTTATTAAAGAATATCCTCTACTTTTGACAGTGGTGTAGAGAACTCTCCAGTGCAAAAAATTACATTTGACAGAGGCTTTGAATACATGGAAATAGAAAGTATTTCTACCATCATTGTTCTAATGATTTTAACTCGCCAGGATGACTGTGGTGACAAGTCTGATGAACCGCCTGATTGCCGAGAGTACACTTGCACACCCGGCCAGTTCCAGTGTAATAATACTAACTGCATACATCCCTCACTTATCTGTGACAACCAAGATCACTGCAAGGATGGCTCTGATGAACCAAATTGTGATGAGGTGGGCAAGACCTGGATCAGGCATTTGTAACAATATATTTTTTTTTTTATGTCAAATGCTGTTTTGTATTACAGTATTCTTGGATTCACAACAGTCATGCATACACTACCATATATTATGGGAAGAGGAAGTAATTTAATATTAAAACTTTTTACCCTAAATGACTTTGTTAATGAATTTTCTGTATCATAGTGAAAGACTATATATTAATGCACAAATGTTTGTTGAAATAACTATTTGGATATTTTCAGTACCACTGTGTGCTGTCACAGTTTAAGTGTCCAGCATACAATGGTTCACGTGCTTTTTGCATCGCTGGCAGTCGCCAGTGTGACAGAACACCTGATTGTCCTGGAGGATTTGATGAACAGGATTGCCCACCACCATCCTGCTCAGCTGATTGGTTTTCATGCAATAACACAAAGTGTATACCCAAGGTTGGTCATCTCTGCAATTTTCTAAGCCTTGTGTTCTGCTGTGGTTATGTAACTTCCCTTTCACAGTCAGGCCTCAAGTCTGGTTTCGGGTGTCACATCAGCCTCTCGCTTAACATTAGCCATCAGCAGCATATCCTTCTCTAAAAACCACTCATTAGCATGCTCTCTGCTCATCTGTAATTCTGCTGGTTCCTGGATGTCCTTTCTCCTCACTTCTAATGTATCATATACTTCATCCTTTCATTTTTTGGCCTTCCTCTTTCCCCTCTTACCCTCCACTTCTGAATTATACACTTTATACTAACCTTTCTCTCCCAATTCCTCAGAATCTCCATGCAACCTGAGCAGACCTCCATCCACTCACTGCCCAATAACTTTTTAACTTTCATGTTCTTTTCCTCCTAGTTTTCTAATTTATTTATTTTCTTGCAGTGCTGCAGGAAGCTAGATAGTTGCTGACCTCTTGATTCTTAACATTCAGAGTTGTGTCAATTGCCAAAGGCCTCAGGAGGTTATAGAGCCATTCAAGATCTCAAATGTCTGAATGAATATGAATGAATTCTTGGCATCAAGTTCAGGATGATTAATATTCAGCAGGTGATGTGGGATTTAAAGAGAAGCATTTGCTTTCTGGCATGTTCAAATTTATATGCAATTTAGATAATTCTCAGCTTTTAGTTAGGGAAAAGAGTTTTTGCTTGGTTAAGCTACAGTAGAACCTCTATACATCAGACTTAAATACACTGGAATTCTCTTTTTTCGAACTTTCTGAAGTGCTTCAGACCACCCCATTATTCCCTAGATATGTTTTTAAAGATCTGAAAAATCCAGCATCAATCTGGACAGTTTGTGTGTTCACATGTGCAGTTGAACATCTGTGTGTGGGTGTCGCACCGCACGCTGCATGTGTCTCAGTCGGGTCCTACCTTCATACGTATTGTATCAGTTTGCTGCACCTTGCTACCGATGCTCATTTACATGAAATTTTTTGTAGAGTACGTATTGTCTTTAATGGGGATACTTGAGGGTTTTAAGCAATGGGTAACATTAAAAATATGCTTATGAAAAGATACTTGCTCACTGAATACTTTACCTGTACAGTGGTCCAATCAGATATTTTATAAGCCTAACAAGAGCTACTAATTATGAGAACTAAGAAACTGCCTATGTAAGCATCATCAATAATGGAAAAAAAATACAACATAATTGTAATTTGACTTGAAAATAAAAGGATAAGCTGTGTTAGAAGGTATTCACTCAGGAAGTGTTCCTGGAGAGAGAGAGCTTTCAGCAAATCCGCTTACAATGGGGGTCATTATAAAATAATGTATAGTATTTGCTATGGAGAAGTATTCCTAACAGCATTTTTTATTACCTATGTAATGTGATGGCTCAATTTGTCTATTTGTGCACTTAGAAAACTGATTAATGAATAAACCAGGGAATATGCAGATGCATAATATACACCACATTATTATTTATTTAATGCTGATACATACACTACTGTACTGTACTGTACAATATTTTTGACGTACTGAACACAGTTGTTTGGTAAGCATGGCAGATGGTAAGTGTTGTTAACATGGTGAGGGAGTTAGGACATTAAGCTGTTAGTGTTTTGTTAACGAAAGACCAGGAGTTTAATACAACGCAATGACTCGTATAGGGTTAAGTGTAAGATTATTTTTTTGGGGGGGGGGGATTTGATTATTTTATGATAATGTTATATCAACCCAGCACCAAATGAACCTAAATATATGTAATGTGGGAATTATGGTAAAATTGCATAAAGACGTGTTAAAAGGTTCCTGGGGGCGGAAGCCACCCATCCATGCTGCTCCCCGTCCATGCCATTTTCATTCTTCCCGCAGTACTGTATATGATTGTCTTGTTCTAGGCATACATCAGGAGAAAGTAAACAGTGATGCCCAAGTATTAACTTCTAGGTTGGCTAGACCTGGCTTTTAAATAAATTAGGAAAACCCTGGGTTTCTCATTATCACCATTTTCAATGGTTGGGTCTCATGTGAGATACTAGAAATGGGTTGGTCAGTCCTCCAGCTGAAAAATATATATACAGGTACTTCAGTTTATGAGGAACCTTATGTTATCCTATGCAGAAGACAAATACCGTACTGTCAGTTCCAGTGTTTGATGGCAAGTTAAGTCTTTACAGACAAGAGTTAGGGACATGCTTATCCAATTCCTTGGGAAGCAGATAACTGCACCTCTTTGGTGGCCATCTGAATTATCTTTAAGCTCTTTTTATAAATTTTATATGATACATATTCAAGGATCTACTGTTTCTCTTATTCTTTTCCCCCTTTTTTTCTACTTATTGTTATAATCCATAGGTGTGGGTGTGTGATGGTGAGCAGGACTGTCCTGATAATTCTGATGAAATGGCTGAGTGTAGCACCCGCCTGTGCCCTCAGGAAAACTTCAGGCAAGTTTCTGCTCAGTCTTAATGTATAACTCTGTGTCTGTCTGTCTGTGATATCACTTCTGATTGTTTATGTATACAGTACATACAGTATACAGGATATAGATATATTTTTTATCTTCTCAATACTGTATAGTCATTAAACAGGGAAAGTATATATATAATGATTACCAAGAGGGATAACAATGGTACTGAAGTACATTGATAAAGATTATATGATTACCTGTACTTCTATACAATCAATAATAACCAAAAACTTGAATTAATACCAACAGGTGTAACAATGGCCGGTGTATCCCCCGCTCCTGGAAGTGTGATGGGGAATTTGATTGTCCAGGAAGGGAGGACGAAGGGGATGACTGCTACCAGACGCACTCTTGTGATGTGTCACAGTTCAAGTGTGATAATATGAAGTATGGACTATATGAAGTACTGTTCATTAACCTAACACCTTGTTTCTTACAGAAATAAATAATTAAAATCATGGCATTAACTCATTTGAGAATTTTTGAGATTTGACACATTTGATTTTCGTTTAAATTGCAACACTTTTGTTTGACTTTTAAGCAGTAACCTGTTTCACAATCTCTTTAGATGGCTGTTTCTTCTTAGTTGTATATTACATCAAGGCCCTTCCATTCATGAGGATTATGTTCTTGAAAATCCCCATGAACCACAAATATGTGAAGTGCAAACTTTTAAGGGATAATACAGAAAAAAGAAAAGAAAAAATTAGTAGGACACTGCACATGTGTAAACTGATGCTGAGATCTTTAGGGAGAGAGAAAAGGGCACTTCTTTTATACAGTACTACATTTTAATAACATTATGATTTGTAGGAGATATTTACTCTTGCACCAACCAGTAAATAGTAAAAAATTTTAACTGCAGTCCGCAGACCTTGCCTCAGTAAATTCACCACGAAACATGAGATCTGTGTAGGGTAAACAAATGCATGAAACAAAGTTGATGTTTCTGTTTAGGTATATTTCTGTATCTTTTCTCCAGGTGTATCCCTGTACGGTGGAAATGTGACGGTGAAAATGATTGCTTGGATGGATCAGATGAAGAAGGTTGTCCTGTAAGAAACTGCAGTGAAAGCGAGTTTCGTTGTGATGATGGCAGGTTTGTACAGTATTCCTTTGATACGTTGCCAATGAAGAGCAAAAAAATTATATAGCTTTATATGGAATGCATAGTTCTGTTAATTGTTGATTTACTGTAGAACTTACTCTTATGCACTTTCAGAAGGGGCCAGAAAAAGTCTGTGTAAATAGCTTGGTATACAGTTAGCTGAATTTTGTCTGTAAGGCAAGTTTATTACATTTGCTAGGCACCTGACTAACTAACTAACTAACTATATATATATATATATATATATATATATATATATATATATATATATATATATATATATATTAGCCAGCTGTTTGTGTCAATAAGCTGTAGTACTGTATAAAGGTCAGCTGCTAGTGTCAATCCCTGGTGTGTATTTTTTTATTTCATTTTGTGTATCATTGACAACATGGTTTACATATAGAGTCATGATATAGATTTTTTGATGAAACTTAATCAGGATGTAATGAAGCCAACCATACTAATATTTTCTTTTTAACTTTGGTATCAATTAAAAATACAGTAACATCATTTACATTTTCCACAGATGCATTGCCAAGAAGTATCACTGTGATGGCTCTCCTAACTGTGCAGATAGCAGCGACGAGACCAAGTGTGATGTGAACTGTGAGAATATGTTTAAGTGTGAAACACCCCCACACTGTATATTGAAGTAAGCCATCATGTCTTTATTTTCTACCCCGTTATTTACTTGATGCATTTTTGTGAAATTACTTAAAAGGAGTTTTCATCACCCAAAGGAAAACTGTATTGAATAAAAATTAGCGACTTCGAAAATATGTTATTCAATTTTACATAATATAATGTGTTGGAGAGGTTTTGGGCATTTGTTAATATATTTGTAATGTGTTTTCATCGATTGAACAGAGATGTTGACACAGTTGTGGTATGAGTTATTTTGTTCAGTGCAGATACAGAATATTGGAAAAGAAAAGAACGCATGTTTTACTGTACTGAACAAATATTTTGAATGTTTCATGAGTTAGCTTATATCAAAAGACTGACTGTGATCAAAAGACTGTCAGGTTACTTTATTCACTCAAACTATTTATAAAAAAGTTTGTATGAATTTCTTTACAGTAAGTGTGTAGGCTTCAGAAGGTGTTAGCTGGTGGTGGTGTCTTCCCTTCCCTTCCCTTCCCTTCCCTTCCCTTCCCTTCCCTTCCTTCCCTTCCCTTCCCTCCCTCCTCCCTCCTCCCTCCCTTCCTTCCTTCCTTCCTTCCTTCCTTCCTTCCTTCCTTCGCTCCTTCCCTCTCTCCCTTCCCTCCTTGCCTCTCTCATTTTACCACTTTGTAATGTTACACACTTAAACCACTTGATGTGGTGAAAATCATACAGTATTTATTTGGTTAATGGAATTTCACAAGAGATTAAGTAGTGATATCTCCATTTCCTGGAACAATTGGTGCAGAGCACTTACGGGAATGAGAGATTTCTGGGTAACAAGACGACTCTCTCAAAGTGGGGAAAAAAGTCACTCATTACCTGGAATTTTCCGAGTAACGGAAAAATTTTCTTGGAAGTTCCAGAAATTTTCATTGCATCATCTCTCAAACCCAGAAAAATATCCTCCATCCCAGGAATTTTTCCCATAATTTCCAGAAAATTTGCCTGATTTTCATCTCTCAAACCCGGAAAAAAAATTTCCCCGTTCCCAGAATTTTCCGGGTACAGTACTTGGAAAATTTTCTTGGAATTTTCCAAGAAAATTTCAATTCCGGCTATCGGAGAGTTCCGGATTTGAGGGATTCCAGCTAACGGAGATATTACTATACACATGTGTGTGGAGTACAGTTGTACCTGTATATGACTATTGTACATTGTCTTGACTTAAAGATTTCTTGTGTTATTTCACATTTTATTTTAGGAGAAAAGAATGAAGGAGTTATAGTGTAAATTTTATATTATTGTAATTTATGTTGATTATATTTTAATTATTGATATACTTGAGGAATGTTACATTAAATTTTACTTGTACCATTCATTATATTGCTTGTTGAACACTTTTGCCTGATGGTTGTTTGACATTTTTGCCTCATGACTATTGATGATTCTTGCACAGAGACTGGGTGTGTGATAAAGACCCAGACTGCAGTGATGAATCAGATGAACGGAACTGCAGCTCAACGTGTGCCCCAGAATCCACCCGATGTAATGACGGAGGATGTGTGTACAACGCCTGGATGTGCGACGGTGAAAATGACTGCAATGATGGTAGTGATGAGAGCAAGGAGTTTTGTGCCAATCATTCTTGTGCTGGAGGCAGATTCAGGTAATATTCTGTTGTACAATGTGGAAGTAGTGAAAAAGAGATACATTTGTTTTCTACATGTACTGTGGTTAATTATTTTAAATATATTATTCATCTTTAGAAAAAAGAATGTAGATTTTTGTGAAGACTAATTGACACACACACACACACACATGGTATATATATTATATGTGTTTACATTCTCCATATCAGCCAAAAAATAGCTGTCTGTTAGCTAATTGATTCAACTAGGACAAAACATATTTAACTTCAAATATAAATTGGTATTTTATGACCTATTACCTGTCCTAGGTGGCAATGTCTATGGGATTGAAAACTGGGTAACCTCTTGCTAGGATTAGTTCCTTATTTAAATTTGCCTCCTCATCTTAGCTAAATCCTTAAAAATGGATCTTTAGAAGCTTGTCACCAGTCAAGGTGAGAGGCAGTGAACCATGGCTAACATGTGTTTGTGCACTGTTCCCCTTCATTTTTTCTCTAGGTGCAAAAATGATAAGTGTATACTGGATGGCTATGTGTGTGATGGTGAGGACCAGTGTGGAGATGGCTCAGATGAATCCCCTGAACTGTGTAAGTATTTTGAAAGTGAGTTCTTGATAAAATTTATAGCCTATCAAATATGCATTTCCAGCTGCTCCAGGGTTCCCTAATGTGAGTTTTACAGTAAGAGGCATAGCTGCTTGTGTCTCCCTGCCCCCAATGTACCCGTAGACCTCATTTACCTACATTTTCCATTCAGGAGTCTTTATGTAAACCTAATCTTTCTCCCCTTAAGTCAATATTTATTTACATTTTGGTTTTGTAACACTGAATTAAAAGCATTGGTATCCATTACTCCAGATCTGCTGTACACATTTGTACTACTTATGTGGACATCATCATCATGCTCACCTTTGTCTCTTCTACTGTATTCTCCTCCTACATACATTTTTTGGTGAACCCTTAAACAGCAGCCATAATCAGTGGAAGTTAGTTGTAAGGACAGCAGCCATTATCAGTGGAAATTAGCTGTAGGAACGGTGGCCATCATCCAGGGTAGTTCGTTGTAGGGATGGCAACCATCTGGGGAAGTTAACTGAAGATGTTGACTTGGCACATTCCCTGCCGATGTCATTAAGAAAAAGTCCTAACTACTTAGTTAAGTACAGTAACCCCAACCTCAGTTTTTCAGTTAAACTCCATATTATTTTATAATACTTTATGGACTTCATTGCTAACTGCTATTCTAGATATAATTTTATTCTTATATTCAAGTTTGAGCTTGCACTGGGTTTGATATATCAAGTCCTATAACAATTTTAGCCAGTGTAATACCAGGTAATATAATTTTTTTTTCTTTAACAAATTTCTAGATACAACACTGGCTAGTAAAAATAACATGTTTGTATTAAGTACTAGTATAAGATATGTAGTTTTATTTACATTTTCATATTTTTATGTTTTTCTGAAACCAAATAAGAAGATACAGTATTGTAGACACATTTAATATACTTTGAAGAGGAAACCATAGATAAGTTTATTAAAGTTTTCATAGACAGATTAATACTGTACTCAATTAATGTTCGAGTTCCTCTGTGCCTGTACAGAATGATACATGTTAAAAATATTATTGTCTCTGACTGAACATTCTTTATCTTATCAGGTCAGATGAAAAAAGTGTGTAAGCAAGATTTGTTTCAATGCAAGAATGGACGCTGCATTGACAAGGTTAATGTATGTGACAGCTTCGATGATTGTATAGACAACAGTGACGAACAGAATTGTCCTATGGGTTGCAGGTATGGTTTATTACAGGTACATTTGTCAACATTACCTAAGTTTAGTTTCATTATCTGTTACCCCATTGTCTGCACTTCTGAATCAGTGAAAACATATTAATACAGGTAATTTTTTTATTCGGGAACCAAAAATAATTACTGTACTATACAGTATTTTAGATTTTTTTTTTTTTTGCACGTCCTAATTTACTGTATTGTAATGATAGTAATCATTGAGGGTTCTCAAATAAAAAAAAATACCCTGTATACTGTAGTAACATAACAAGTTTATTATGTCTTTCCAACTTTGCTTTCAGATTTGGAGAATGTTCACAAATATGTAATGTAAAAAAAGATGGGAACCACACCTGTTCCTGTTCTCCAGGATACTCCCTTCAGAGTTACTCACAGAAGAATCAGAAGTCATGTTTTGCTGATGGTAACTTGGCATACATGGTGCTGGCCAATTACAACCACTTAAGGAAACTTTCTCCTTATAAACATGGAAACTCTGCTAGTATTCTCACCTTAACTGAGGTAATATGATAAGAGTTCTTTTACAGATCTTTTTAACCTTTTGAACATTTGGTAGATTACATTTTTATCCAGCCACTGTATTATACAGGAAAAGGTTTAAAAAAGAATATAGTAATTTAATTTACTTCTTGGCTAGATATTTTGTCAAATAATGATTATAAAATAATAATAATACTAATAATAATTATGTTAATAGGAGTTTTTTTTAATATCTTACAGGAAGATTCTAAAACAATGAGGATCAACAGTGTGGATGTGTTGTATGGTAAAAACCCCAGGGCCTTCTGGACAAACTTACATGACAATACCTTAGTTTCTATGCCAGTGCCAACCACACACGAGCAGGATAGTTCCCGTGTCCGCAGGGAGGCAGTACCTGTGACCATTGTTGTAAGTTTGAACCAAATGTTGTTTTTTCAGTCATTTTTATTTGTGCCAGTAGGTCTTGGACTCACTCACTGAGAAAAATTAATTAATTGACTGATAAGAAAATAATTCTTTATAATGTGCTGTTTCGTACCATGTCTTGTGTGTTTTCTAACGTGTTTCTCTATTACCCATCTTCATTAAACCAAACTTTATTATCTAAGGGTTTAATCACTACTCATATCAGCGTTGTGTAAAATCTACTCTTCCAAAAGTCCTCTTTTTTCCAATATACAGTCGGCCCTTAACATACGCGGGGGTTACGTAACAGAGATGCCCGTGGATGTTAAAAATCCGCGTATTTTTGCTGCCCCCCCCCCCCCCAAAAAAACCCTGGCCCCCCATGTCCTTATTTACCGTATATACCTGTGTGTAGTTCGAGTTTTTAAGACCAAATTATTTGGCAAAAAATTGGGGGTCGACCTCTAAACAGGTAATAGTTTCGTTAGGTTGAAAAATATTTACCAGTAACTACCAGTAAACAATGGAAACGACGCACCAACGCACCACCAGCTATGAGTGTGGGTACAGTTGCCAGGGCAGATCTCTTGCATCATCATAGCAAGCCCAAAGTAGCCAAATCCATGGTATGGTAGCACAGGACGATGTAAAACATAAAGTATTCATTTATTATAGTTTATTTATAGATACTGTACATAAATTTTTGTTCATTACATTTGAAACATCAATCTTTGTTAATTAAATTTGAAACAAAAGAAAACTATGATACCGTATTTTCATTAAAATATTGCATCACAAGTATATTTTACTTTAACTGTGACTGAATGAATATACAGTGAACCCTCACTTTATGCGGTCAGTTGAACCCACGGCAGCCCGCGTAAAGTGAACAACATAACATATGGGATTAATTGAAATAGAGACCGGGCCAACCCCCAAACTCCACTTTTTCCGACACAATACCTATGTTCTAGTAAAAATGACATCTTGATTTTATGATGGTACACGCACACAATTAATATTTAAGAGAAATAGAGAAATACAGTCGCCAAGTTAATGTCCATTCAAATAATGGACTCAACTCCCCCTCTTCTCACACTCACTGGCTCTTCCCTCTCTGAGAAATGATTGGGGGGAAACACTAGATTTTAAGGTATAGTAATAAATAATACCTCAAACTAAAGTTAGGATAATATAATTGACATTGCTGGATTCTTTGTAAGACCAGGAATATTTTTAATATAAATGTCATATATTTTGCACAAAAGATAACATATTTACTCAGAGTAAACAAAATACTTACATTAGATCTAAAATTTGTATGTCTAATGCAAAATCTATGATGTTTATATTCAAAATGATCATCAAATTGTAAGAATTCCAGCAATGTAAATTATATTCTGGCCGGGTAATTTGTATGAATTTTATGAGCTAAAACAAATATCTTCAGTTAATAAAAAAAAAAATATTCTTCAGACACTATCTGTCAATCAAAACACCCCACCTTGCCTCCCCCCCTCTTCCCACCACGCCAGCTGGGTCAGTCGGTCCCTCCCTCCCTCCCCCCCACCCCCCACCTTCCCTCCCTACCAGAGAAATGTTTGGGAGAAACCAGAATATTTACCTTTTTAGTAATAAATAATACCTCAGACTAAAGTTAGGATAATATCGTTCACATTGCTGGATTCCTTGCAAGACCAGGAATATTTTGAATATACACGTCATATATTTTGCACAAAAGATAACATATTTGCTCAGAGTAAACAAAATACTTGCATTAGATCTAAAATTTGTATGTCTAATGCAAAATCTATGATGTTTATATTCAAAATGATCAGCAAATTGTCAGAATTCCAGCAATGTAAATCATATTCTGGCCGGGTAATTTGTATGAATTTTATGAGCTAAAACAAATATCTAAAATAAATAAACAAAATATACTTACCCAAATACTATCTGTCAATCAAAATACCCCACCTCCCCCCCTCTTCCCACCTGCTCCCTGGGTCCCTCCCTACCCCTCACCCCCACCTTCCCTCCCTACCAGAGAAATGATTGGGTTATAACAGTATATTTACATTTTTAGTAATAAATAATACCTCAAACTAAAGTTAGGATAATATAATTGACATTGCTGGATTCCTTGCAAGACCAGGAATATTTTGAATATACACGTCATATATTTTGCACAAAAGATAACATATTTGCTCAGAGTAAACAAAATACTTGCATTAGATCTAAAATTTGTATGTCTAATGCAAAATCTATGATGCTTATATTCAAAATGATCATCAAATTTTAAGAATTCCAGCAATGTAACTTATATTCTGGTCGGGTAATTTGTATGAATTTTATGAGCTAAATAACAAAATTATGCTTCACCCGCGTATATGAGTAGATGCACCGCGTAAAGTGGGAATTCCGGTTCTGGCAGGGTACCGCGTAAATGTAGAAACGCGTAAAGTGAAACCGCGTAAAGCGAGGGTTCACTGTACGTATTCTCAGAAATAAATATGGAAATATAATATTTTTGCTGGAATGACGTTGTTAAGGCCAGGGACTTAGGGATAGAAATCCCTTACCAGGCTAATCAGGATCTTAATAAAGGAAAGTCAAGGACCATGGTTTTCCGAGGAATAACAAACAACTGTTTGAGATTGGCATCTCTTTACTATAAAAAATATAACACAAAAACTCTTGACACCACTCAACAAACCTCAAATAATTACGGGAGTCCAACAAATAAGGCAGTCAACAGTTAATGGAGTCAAACAATTAAAGGAAGCAAACAATTAAAGGAATCAAACAAATAATGGGAGTCAGCAATTAATGGATTCAAACAATTAAATGGAGTCAACAATTGATAGAATCGAACAATAAAGGGGAGTCAGCAATTAATGGAATCAAACAATTATAGAATCAAACAATGAACAAATATTTCCGATGGCAGTGGCCCTGGGGGAAGGTTCTGGAACACGGTGATGCACACTCAGGGCAGGGAAGCGTCCATTCAACTCCACACTCGAGCGACGTCTTGAAAAGGCAGGAGAACACCGGGGCACAGACGGAATGAGATGAACTGACGGTCGTGGTATGCGGTAGTGGTAGATGACCAGAGAGTTGGCAGTTGATAGGTGAAGGTCTGGGAACACAGCCCACGAGTCCAGGACCTATGATGAGATCACAGCCAGAATTTGACGGACAGCGGGGTAGCTGGATAGTGACTGCATGGCGGCTGGGTTGAATCTCCCGGTGACCCAGATAGTCGCTGCCGTTCTCACCTCTGTCCAACCGCCCCAAGTGTCGTCTGCACCAGCAAACAAGCGAGCTAGCAGCGGTAACCAGCCGGAGGATCGTTTCCACCCTTACAGACGTACATATTACAGTGGAAAGTGGGATAAAATCATGACGAAAACAATGACTTTCACTTTCTTTCGTTATTCAAAAGATTTTACCGTAATCGCTTTTCGAATGGTTTTCAGTTAAAAAACTGTTGTACTCGTACTGTATTACAATAATATTCTATCCTATCATTAGCCTTATAATCCCACAACTGAAAACCATTCGAAAAGCGATTACGGTAACATCTTTTGAACGAAAGAAAGAGAAAGTCATTGCTTTCGTCACAATTTTATCCCATTTTCCACTGTAATACGTACATCATTTCAGCAAAAATATTACATTGCCATGTTCTCAGAAATAAATGGTAGTTTTGTTGAAACATAATGTACAGTATTTAATATTAAAATGCAAAAATAGCTATTAAAACAATTAATACACCCGTAATGTACTGGCTGGCATCTCCACGTGTCCCTGCTCCCGCGTCCAAGGTCACCACTCCTCCCAACTCGCTCCCTCCGCTCCCTCCTCTGCCTCCTCCACCTCCTCACCGTCACTACTGCCGACAACAAACACAAATGTTTTGTGAATAACTGCACCTCCACTTCCTATGTACAGTACTGAACTGTACTGTGCTGTGCATTTTTACAAACAATAAACATGGCAAGAAAAGCTATTAAAAAAAAAAGAGATAAAAATTTCACTTTACTGTACCGTACCTATCCTCGGCGACAGGACGGGGGTCATCGGGCTCATCGTCACTCAATTCCATAACGGGTGGTGAAGTGGGGGCGACGGTGGATTCAGCTGCTTCCTCACTGCCGCCAGTGATTGATGGTGTTAAATCTCTCCTTCGGTGATCAAAGAACATGGTGATGGGGAGTTGTCGTCTCTTTCTTTTCATTTCTTCCATGATGTTTTTGTATGGAGCAAAAACGTCATCCATCCCTCGCATGAATTTCAGGGCACGCACCATGGAGGGGTCCATACTATAGGCCAGGTTTTTCAGTGCCTCAATATTCCTGGTCATCTCCCCCAACTTCTCCAACGTTATTTCTTGGTCCTCATCCTCTTTCCCTTTCGCTTCCTCTTCCTCTTCCGTGCCTGAGTCTACTAACTCCTGTAGATCCTCCTCGGTCAGCTCAGTGTCGTGCTCTTCAATTAGCTCCCTAATCTCGTCCTCTGCCATGTCCTGGAAGCCTTCAGCAGCCACTTTCCTTGGCAGTGTCAGGGTCTTTCTGAATATTTTCATTAAAATCCATCAAAATCATTTTCCTTGTCATCGTCTTAAGCACCAAACAGCTCCTCCCAATCTTCTCCTGGAACAGGGCTAGAGGGTACGTGTTTTTCGAATCGTTTTCAATTAAAAAAAATGTTACAGCACATGTATATTTTACCTAAACTGTGCCTGAATGAATATATTCTCAGAAATATATAGTAGTTTTTCTGAAACATGATGTATTTCAATGTAAAATAGGATAAAATGCATGACGAAAACAAAAGACTTTACCTAACCTTCCGATGTTCAAGAGATGTTACTCGTTTTTTTAGTAGTTTTTGGTTAAAATACTCTTATATTAGTGATATTCTATTCATACTGTGCTTGATATAATACATTCACGGAAATGTAATATTTTTGCAACTACAATGCTGATGTCAACACAAGCGTGGTTACAGCGAGACTGACTGAGTGAGGGAGAGCTATGCGTGTGTGTGTGAGGTTGCGGGAGCGGGCGGTGTCCCGCGTTCGGTGCCGCGTGCGAGTTGAATGTACTTCAATTACTTCAATGTACAGAATATTCCTCCGGCGGGGCAATCCGCGTATTTGCAAATCCGTGTATGCTAAACCCGCGTATGTTAAGGGCCGACTGTACTGTATTTTCTCTAGGGTCATCATAAACAATGCAGTAAATCAGGCCACATAACCAGAAGACTCAGGGCACCTGACTTATGTGACTGGGACTGAATTCTATAAATCTAAGATATTAGTGTAACCTTCTTAACCACTTGTGTATGGGGTAGTCTCTGAGCTAAATAAAATCGTACGGTATAAGTCAAATAAAATATTAAAAGTGGCATCCCCATAGTGAAGGGGTTAATGCAATTGGAGCCCCTTGGTTGTCAAACTATAAATTGTTAGCTTTACATGAGTTTCCTAAACTGTGCTTGGTTATACAGAGAGCATAAGACATTGAATGGTGTTATGAGTGAGCGACTTATTTGATTAATGTTGTTTTGAATTAATTAATTAATATATGTGTGTGAGGGAGTGCACAAGGGGCTGTTATGTTACTGGCTGTACTTATGGATAGGACTACAAAATGAGAGTGGGAATCGATGGCTGGTGGGAGTTGCTCTACTTATTATGCCGCAGAATGGAAGTTATCAGTGGATAATTCTGTTAGTTTCTTCAGATAATGAGTTTGGCATATTGGTAAATGGCTTTGATGAATTATGAAGGAGCAGTATAATGCTTCATGTAAATTCAAGCAAAATTAAAACTTTCAGTACAGTATTTGATAGAACATGGTACAGTAGTCTGAGTTTAGTGATGGTTGGTGGAGAGTGACAAGTGTTAGTTGAATTAATTATCCAGGAAATACTTCAAACAAGGAATGTCTTCATGAATTACCCAACACTGTACCTACAACGAGATGTAAAGTGTATAATGGTCACTGCATTAACTTTTTCCATAATGTTGTTTATGTAATGTTCACAGAATGAAAAGCGTCCTCAAATTTTAACATAATTCTAACACTTCCAGCTCAAGGATTTAAAGAAGCCACGAGGGGTGGCTGTTGACTGGGTGACAGAACTGGTGTATGTTATAAATGGAGGAGAAAGGACCATCATGGCAGTGTCTGTGGATGGATCAAAGAAAGTTACCCTCATATCTACAGACATAGACCAAATTCAGGATATTGTGGTTGACCCAAAGTCTGGGTAAGTTATTAGTATAAAACTAACATTGTACCTGTAATGGAAAATTTATATTAATTTTAGAGTTTCATTCACTGTTCAGTTTTATAACCCAGTAATAATGCTTTCACTTTTACAGTCAGATGTTTTGGAGTGAGTGGGGATTCACTCCAGCCATTAATGTTGCTGCCATGGATGGGCACGACAGAAAGCGTTTGTTGGATCGCAACATACTAGAACCATTGGGGCTGGCCATTGACTACACAACAAGAAGACTGTACTGGGCAGATGTCAAGACCCATACAATTGAAACTGTTAAGCTAGATGGATCAGACAGGCAACCTGTGAAGCACTTTGAAACTGGTAAGAAACTTGTTCCTTTAAATTGTTTGCAAAGTAATTTTTTTTATTCTATCATGGATGTACAGTAAACCCTCTTTATACATGGGACTATATTTATGTACAGTACTGTGGTCCCTCGGTTAACAAACACAATTCGTTCCAGAGGGTCGTTCGTTAGCCGAAAATTTCGTTAACCGAATCCATTGCTTCAATGGGATATTGGGTAATTGGTTCCAGCTCACCGAAAAGTACATACAAAGTAAAAAAAAAAATGCAGTAAAGTACACTTACTTTGAGGTGTGTATGTAGAAGGTTCCTGGTTGATGATGATGATGGGAATTAGAAGTGGGGGTGGAGGAGAAGGGAGAAGAGAAGGAAGTGGGGATGGAGGAGAAATCACCTTTCAGGGGACCCATGCTTGATGCCGTCATTTCACAAATAAAATTTTAAGTTCACTAGGTGTAATTCAAGATTATTTTATTTAAGTCAACACTGCACTGCATTATATATTATCAATATGTTAACTAAATTTCAGAATGACCAATAATTTCAATAAAAAATGCAAAAATATTCAAGACCAAAAAAATAGATGTTCAACCCACTGTCAACAGAGCCCAACTGACGCCTTGTGGCAGAGTTAAGCATCTGATGGGCGCACAAAAAACTAGTTCCCTGTACTACATATATATCAATATATTAAATAAATGTTAAAATGACTAATAATTTTAATATAAAAAATGCAAAAATATTAAAGAGCACAACTTTATTCATATTTACTCCACTGGAAACGAATGTAAACAGAACAGATTACTGAATTGGCAGACTAACCCATCAGCTGATGCTCACAACAAAACGTGATGTTCGTAAGGTTTTCGTTAATCAAATTTTTGTTCGTTAACTGAATTGAAGATTCTTATGGAAGGTAATTCATTAACCGAACCGTTCGTCAACCGAGAGACCACTGTATACCCTTTCTGTACGTGGGACTATACAGTATCTATGCACAGTGAGTTTAACTTCTTTTTGGATAATCAGACAAGTTCATGAGACCAATTATTATTATTATTATTATTATTATTATTATTATTATTATTATTATTATTATTAATTTGTATTTTTTTTTTAATATAAATGTAAGATAAAATATTGCCTGATAACATGGTGAAATATATACCTAAACATAAAGTAAATACAATGCAGTACTCACACAGTCCTGAGAATCAATAAGTAATGGGATTTCTCTTCTCACAATTTAAAAAAAAATCACATTGGAGAGATTTCTTTTGACTTATGGGAGTAAATTCATAACTAAGTTACATGGAATGCTTGTGTTAGAATCCCTTATTATTCACTAAACACTGACACAATACAGATAAACACAAACACTGTAAATGCTTCACTGTATGTGTGGAGCAGTATGTTAGCACAAGTGTAGCCAAGACAGAACTTATGAAAGAAATGAGTTGTGCTCACCCACCACATCCACCCATAATGCTTTTCTGTGAACAGCCCGTGCATCTTGAGATGCACTCTCACTTTGGCCATGCTACATCAGAATTTATCAGTTGTGTATATGGAGAATTTACCAGCAAAGTTTTATCCTTCCTTTGATGAAATTGTGTTTAGTGAGTGTTTAGTGTGCAGATCCTCTCATTCAATCCATGGCCTGAACTACACTACTTGTTCCCACTTTTAGGTTTGTTGTTTCATATTCTGTGTGAATTGATTACCAAATTTTGTAGAGTATTAAGCTGGACACAGTTTAAATGTGATTGTACTAAGAAATTTGCTTTCACAGGTGAAGGTACACCCAGCAGCTTGGACGTTTTTGAGGACATGGTATATTTCATCACTCATGATACGAGATCAGTTTATCGCATGAACAAGTTTGGCTTTCGTAATCATGAGATTTCTCGCATTTCTCAACACCCAATGAAGATATCAGATGTTCTCATAATTCAGGAGCAGAAACAAGACAGGACATGTAAGTTTTTTTTTTTTTTGCAATAATGCCTGACTTCTCTAATTGTAAAATAGGTTTTACAGTTAAAAGGATGTTGAATATGATTTAAGAATAATAAATGATATCTCCATTAGCCAAAACAATTGGTGCAGAGCACTTCTGGGAATGAGAGATTTCCAGGTAACGAGACGTCTCTCTCAAAGCCGAAAAAATCCCTCATCCCTGGAATTTTTGGGTACTGGGAAAATTTTTACGGAACTTTCAAGATAATGTGCCCCTCAGAAAATCGTTCCCAAAGCCGGAATTTTCCGGAAAATTATGGCTTTGGGAACAAATTTTCAAGAAAATTTCAATTCTAGCCATTGGAGAGTTCCGGGTGTGAGGGATTCTGAATAACGGAGATATTAATGTATTCCTTTGATTCAACAATTTTTTTAGACTGCAGACTTCTAATACCATTTACCATATTATATATGTTAGTTTTTAGGTCAGATTAAATTTAGAGAGTTAAAGCTAAGTTATAGTGAAAATGCCTGTACATACTGTACCAGGCGAAGAGAAGAAGCAGCTCTAGGAAGGTCTGACTAATTACATTGGAATCTTCTGTGGAAGAGAAAAGATATAAGTGATGGCAGAGGTAAATGCAAGAGTTGATGATCAAAAAGTGGAGGGGACTTTGTGAGAAATATGGAGTACATTACCAGGAATTAATGAAAATGTAGAAAGAGTGCTTGAAATGTGCACTGGGAAATGTTGGTAATGGAGAATTTTATGGTTCAGAAAGAAGACATTTGAAAGTATATGTGCAAATGAGATAATAGGTGGAGTAGAAGATTGTGCAACTATTTGTTGGGACTAGAAAAATTAAATGTAAGTTGATTGATGTTTATTTACTATGGATAGCAGTGTACAGAATGTTTGGCTTACAATTGGTAGAAGCAAAATTTATAGTGAAAAGAAGGTTCAGAGTAAAATAGATGCAAAGAAGTAAGAAGTTAGTAAAAGTTGATGAATGGGGGAAAGAGTGTACAGCTAAAAGAATTAAGGAAATTATTGAAACAAGATGTGCTCATGTAAATGGGACTAAAAGGGATGGAATTGAAAAAGTCTACAAACATCTCATATCGAGAGTGCTAATGTGGGGTGTCGGTACAAGAATATAGGAGGGAATAATGAGTGGGATATGAAATAGGTAGAGTTCATTCAAGAGAAAAGAAGTGTATGTTAATGCCACTTGTAAGAAAGAAGCAACAGAGGGAAGGAGTACTGGGTGTATACTTGGAGACTACAAGAAAAGTAGAGAGAATGGTGAAACAGTGCATTACCATAATAAACATTGTCTTTACCTTCCCATTATATTTAAGACTTTTATATACTTTTTTTCATATATGGTTATGTTGTGTTGTTAATATATTTTCACTCTTTAAAGTTCCTGCATATTTTTAATTCATCTGTAAGCATCTTCTCATATTTTACTTTTTTTTTGACAGTATACAACCCATGTGCCAGCAGCCCCTGTGATCCAGATGCGATGTGCCTTATTTCTGGACCTAAGAACTACTCTTGCATTTGTCCTGATGGAATGACAGAAGATAGTTTGGGAGGTAAGTCAACAGAATACAATTATACTCTCACCATAATATATCTCGTGTAATGGGTAGCGTTTAATGATATTTATTTATGCCCATATAATTATTTTGCCAAATTTAGAACCTTCTTGAAATATTAATGCTTACTTTGGTCCAAATTTTCTGCCAGGTGTGAAGAAATGTCATATTCAGCCAGCAAAGACAAGCCAGTGCCCCTTGTTTTGCAATAAGGGAGTCTGTGAACAAACACGTAAAGGTCCTCGCTGCAAGTGTGATCCTTTATACCAGGGCCTGCATTGTGAAAAATATAGGTTAGTAAGAGTGATAGCTATTTAAATTTTTTGGGAAACTTTTTTCCCTCATTTTATTATCTCTGATACTTTCCTCTTGAGATACATACAGTATGTGGGGAGTGGCTCTAAGGCCACCTAGGTGTGAATTTCTTTAAGGCAAGTTGTCTAGTTATCTTGTGGGTTCCTGGCTGTTGTAATGGCAACAGCTTCTATGCCCCAACTGCATTGGCTAACCATTACCCTGGAACACAGTTAACTTCCAGTTGCCCACTTACTTCTGGGTAGACAGAAGCAATTGGCAGAAACCTACTAATGCAGGTTGGTCTCACAAATTTATAATAATTGATATCCCACTGTGGCTGCATTTTCAGAGGGAATGGATTTGTGGGATAAGCATTAAAACAGAAAAATTTGCTAATCATTTGCTAAAAAAAAATAAATCTAATTGTACAACATCTATCTTTATTGTTTCAAACTTACACTCCAAAGCCATACTTATTTTACAGTTCTTTAACTCTTATTCCTAATTTGAACAAATTTCAAATTGCATATGTCAAAAATGAAAAATAAAATATGCAATGATATAACAATAAAATTTATATACAGTACACAATATCATAATATACAATAGCACATACCTGTATTTAAAAAAAAAAATAGCTACTTCCTTACTCTCACCACTCACTGGGTGAAGTGACACAATTCAGCCAGGCAATCACCCAGCTGACTCAGAGATATGTGGCTCCAGCCACACTGAATTGTGTGTATACCATGAAGTCACATCATGGGAGGGACTGCAGCTCAGCTGCAGTTGGCGAGTTTGTGACATAATTACAGCCCACAGCCTCAATGCATACGTTCACTTCCCACACTTACATATCCATGCTCTACATTTTTCTAATTTTATAGCTTTATATTAAATGTTCTTTTTTTCTAAGCCACATGAGTATTGTAATGACTTTTTTTCTCAAACAAGTACGGACAGACAATAGTCACAGTAAATGCATGGAGTTGCAGTAAAACACACTTCTGAGACACAAATTTGTTAGGCCAACTAAGTGGATGCTTTTTCCAGTTGAATTATGGCTGTTAGCACATCAGGTGAATGGACGAGACTGTATTTCGAGCCATAATTCCCAAGAGATTTATTTTGTGTGTGAGAATTAAGATTTGTGTATTTGAAGTAAAGCCATGCTTGGCAGGTATTGCAATTGATTCTTGAGGAAAAAATATAGGAGAAATGAGAAAGTTTCTTGGTGATGTGGCTTTGCACCTTCTCCTGGAGTCCTCCATCTCTTAGTGGAGATGCGGTGAGAGTTGTTATCGAAGACAAAAACTCACAAGCATTGCTCAAGGAATCCACTATTGAACATGATTCCACCATATGTAGGTGACTCTCCCAAGCACTAGGCACCCTTCTCCCAGTTACTGTGGTTATATGCTCATAAAATCCTTTTATAATTTCTCATTCAATATTATTATTATAGGTATTATTATTATTATCATTATAATCATTATCATTATTACAGTAGAATCCCAGTTATCCAGCACCTACGGAGATTTAGAGATGCCGGATAAAGAGATTTTCTGGTTAGTTGAACCTCACTCTTAGGATCTACCAAACAATCCTACAATGAAAGCCCTGGTTGTCATGAACAGTACAGTACAGTGGTGTTAGCGTAAATAAATACAGCTGCGAGATGTGCCATTTAGTCTCGTGGAAAATACCACACTGTCTTTGCTGTAACATGCAGCTCCATTCATGCCCATTGCCCATATCATATAGATCTTGGATTTTTTTGATATACCGTAATTATTTAACCAAACTTTAAGGCAAAGTATTTGTGATTATTTGGGTAAAACAATGGGGTGTCTATCTTAATTAGAACTGATTTTATTGACTCCGGCATCAACATTTCATACTATTTTATAAAAGAATGGAATTCCCATCATTATATCATACCAAAATATTTGGTTTAAGTTTATCTTATTGGAAATGTCTCATAGAGAATTTATTAAAGATCATTGTGGTATCAAATATATCTTCCTATCACAATTAGCAGATACTAGAGTGAGGTAAGAGGGAGGCCAGCCGAGCGAAAACTGACCATGCGTTCCCCCACTTACCCCCCTTACCCTCCCATAAAGGTGCACTTCCCACCGGCCCCAGCCCCCCTCCACCATCACCCACACACCCCAACACCACCCACACACCCCAACACCACCCACACACCCCAACACCACCCACACACCCCAACACCACCCACACCCCTAACATCACACACACACCCCTAACATCACACACACACACACACACACACACCCAACAACCACCCACACACACACACACACACACACACACACACACACACACTCACACACACTCACCCACTCACTCACTCACTCACTCCAACAACCACACACACACACACACTCCAACAACCACCCACACACACACACCCTCCACACACACACACACCCTCCAACACACACACACACACACACACACACACACACACACACTTTCTCTCCAATACCATCCACACACCCCCAAACATGGAAATTAAGACAGCAAACATCCAGAGTGAGGGTCTTCTTGTATGACAAATTTGCGCTTGTATGGTTACTGCGTGGTGGTGAGTTAAAGATCAGCTGTTAAGGAGCACTTGGTAACACCGGTACATGTTACCACTCCTTTCCCACTCTATCTCTCTAATCACCAACACCTTTCTGCTGTCTCACTCCATTATTTTAAAATGCTATGTAACATTATGATGAAGGGATACAACGTTGCTCATTTAAACTTACACTTACCACAATCTCCCTCAGAAATACTTACCGGTAATCTTTCGTGTTTATTCAAGACATCTTCAGGTCATGAGACCCACTAATCCCCCACCCAACAAAAGGTGACCTGACATTGCATCAGAATGGCAGTAATATGAGACCACTAATCCCTCACCCTACCTCCACCTGACATTGCATTAGGTCAAGTCAAGTCAGTTACATGAGACCCACTAATCCCCCATGGGAGTGGAAAATACCAGTCTTCACTCTAATTCATAGCTTAATTCAAGCCCGCATCCTATAGATTTTTAGCTTTTAAATTTATTTATTTAACGAAATTTGTAGATAAACTAAGCCGGATTATTCTAGTAAAGAAATTTAGTTTCTAACTTAATTAGAACTGCTTTGACAGACTCGGGTAGTTTAGACTCTCGAAAAACATTTCCTAGCCCCCAGAAACATTCTGGAGATGTGGGCTAGTGCCTGCCTGTGCAAGACGAGTACCGGTAGTTTAGACACTAAGAAACTTTTCCCTGTAACTGGAAAAGATTCCGGTACTAAGGAATTTTTCCGGGTTTGAGAAAGTCATCTGGTTACCCGGAAATCTCTCATCCCCGTAAGTGTTCTGCACCAATTGTTCTGACTAATGGGGATATCACTGTAATTGGGATTCTACTGTATTATGTATATGGTAGTTATTATTAAAGAATTAGGTAATTCAGTCATAATTAAAATTTTAATTGTCATAATCTAAGGTTCAGTACAGTCAAATGTTGTATTTCATTCGGTAGCTCGGCTCATATTTTGAGAAGCCAAATTATTTGGTTTAAAAGTGTGTTTGTCCAATAAATACTCTACTAATAGCCAGGTAGTTGCTGGGTGGCAACATATCAACCCGGTACTGAATTTGGTGGCACAAATGATAGTTTATGAGTCACTGGTGAGCTGCAGATTGAAGAATTTTATATATTTTCAGATGTTCTGGCTATTGCAAAAACGATGGTTATTGTAGTCCAGTTAATGAAAATGGGCAGGAATTGCCCCAACTGCGATGCTATTGTACACATGAATGGACGGGAGAGCGTTGTGAATCTCCTGTAAAGACGTGTCAAAACTTCTGCCAGAATGGTGGTGAGTGCCATCTAACCCCTGAGAGCATCCCCTACTGCACTTGTAATAACAAGTTCACTGGTGAGTCTTTTTGAGATTTTTTTTTTACTGGGATTAGCCTACCCAAGCACAGAGGTCACTGACCCACAATGGGGGGAGGGGGGGGGGATCGAAAATGTAATAATAATAATAATTCAGATAAGTAAAATTTTTAATAAAAAAAAATAATAATAATTTGTTATAGCCCCCTTTTTTTATTATTATTTTTTTTAATAATTCATTTTCTCAAAGGGCCAACAGGGGGTATCAACATTGTTTGTGTGACTAAGGTAGATCGTACAGTACAAGTCTGGTCAAAGAAGTTATTGACAACACTTCAAAGCTGTACCACAGATTTCCCAGTCAGGTCTCAGGTTTCATCTGCAAATTAGCCTTTTTTCTCCACAGGGACCTGTACATGTACTGTACCTTACAGTACACAGTGTCTTAGGGAGGATGTATATTTCTTTGTCCACTCTGCTCAATGAGGATGCTTGGCATCCAAAAGATGGAATTTTTAGTTTTCTAATGGACAATTTTTGTGAATTTTTATGTACTTTTTACTTCATATTTATTGATATTTTTATAAGATTTGTATTTTTATACATAAACAGACACACAAAGAGCCAGCCGGCATACAACATATACAGTAGGATCGCAGTGTACCCGTAGCCATAGTACGTACGCGACCCTGCTTATACACATCTGACCTCCTGAACCTTCCTTACACTCGGGTCTCTCTCTCACGTGAACCAACCCATCCAGCATCTCTTGCTAGCTCAGCATGTTCATCACTTGGCTATGATCCTTAGAGAAAAAATTCATTACAATCATTACAGTATTACCCCGCCTAACGCGGTTTCACTTAGCGCGTTTTACCGTATACGCGGTGCCTCGCCAGAGCTGAACTTTCACTTAACGCGGGTTTTTTCCACGTATACGCGGTGAGTGTCCGGCTCGAGAGCTATTTTTAGATTTGCCCCACCCGCCACCCTGCCTGACTGCCTGTTTTAGCTCATAAAATTCATACAAATTACCCGGCCAGAATATAATTTACATTGCTGGAATTCTTACAATATGATGATCATTTTGAATATAAACATCATAGATTTTGCATTAGACATACAAATTTTAGATATAATGTTCACTCTGAGTAAATATGTTATTTTTTGTGCAAAATATATGACATTTGTATTCAAAATATTCCTGGTCTTACAAGGAATCCAGCAATATCAATTATATTATCCTAACTTTAGTTTGAGGTATTATTTATTAAAATTTAGTGGTTTTCCCCCAAAAATTTCTCAGAGAGGGAAGAGCCAGCAGTGTAGTGTGAGAAGAGGGGGAGGGAGTTGAGTCCATTATTTGAATGGACATTAACTTGGTGACTGTATTTCTCTATTTCTCTTAAGTATTAATTGTGTGCATGTACCATCATAAAATTAAGATGTTATTTTTACTACAACATAGTTATGTGTCGTCAAAAAGTGGAGTTTGGGGGTCGGGCCGGTTTCTATTGGAATTAATCCCATATGTTCTGTTGTTCACTTAACGCGGTTTTCACTTAACACGGTACCCTCTGGGTTTTATTGACCGCGTTAAGTGGGGTACAACTGTACAATGTGTGCATATGTGTGGGAAGGGAATGTAAGTAATTGAGGCAGTGAGCTGTAACTGTGTCGCCGATTTGTCACCCAGCTGCACTCTCCCTCCCCTTATGTGATGCCACGGCATACATACAGTGTAGCAGTAGCCACACACTTCGCCGAGTCACACCGAGTCAGCTGAGTGACTGCTCGGTTAAACTGTATGTGAATTTGCATTTATGCAGGGATCCCTAGAACGTAACCCTCGCTTATTCTAAGACCCTACTGTACAGCATTTTCCACTTATGTTGCTAAATTATATGAAGACTATAGTATTTTTGCCTTTTTCCTATATAATTTCCCCCTATTATTTAAAAAAAATTGAAAGAAATACAAAGGGAATAAAGAAGTTTTGGGAATATTGGCTAGGCAAGTGGAGTCATCCAGTGATTGCTCCAACAGTTGGCCAGGTGTAAAATTGATGGACTGCAATTACACAATTTATAATATTCAGTCCCATTAATCTTAGTAAGTTAAGGAGCCATGAGGATATTTTTTTTTTTTTTTTTTTTAAATAATGCTTACTTGATATTTATCTGACTATGCTTTTTACATTTCAGTATTACCTTGGAGTTTTGGTAAAAATAGCCAGAGAATGTTTAGAGTGGAGGACTGTGGTTGCCAACCCTCAGGTATGAGGACAGTACTCTGATAGATTGACTGATTACCCATTGTGTTTTTCATCTTTCAGGTGAGCGTTGTGAGCAGTGTAAAGAATTGCACTGTGAAAATGGTGGAACTTGTCGCTCGGGAGTACACAATGGCAACTCATATCTTTCTTGTTCCTGCGCTGGAGGTTTTCATGGTTCAACCTGTAGCTACTCTGTGTGTACTAGTTACTGCAAGCATGTAAGTTGTCATTACTTGTATTTAATCTAATCTGTAAGATGTGTTTTTGTAATATAGTGCAGAGCAATAAAGGAAATTTGTGACAAATAACATAGAAAAGTGCTTGTATTCATTTAGGAAATGGAGGAATGCACATTTGGTAAGGAAGAAAGAGAAATTGTGTTTGGCATTTATATCTGAAGGTGGTTTATAATTTGAGGTACTGTAATGTGAATTTCTGTGGAACATGCTTAGAGAGTTTAGGTGTAGCAGAAACTTCACTATCTCATCATCATCATTATTATTGTTTTGAAACTATTTCCCACGGTTGCATGGGTTAGCTGCTGTCACCTAATGGCAGCTCTCCATTCTGCAGTCTTTCATTTGAGGTTCCTTTCTCTAATTATCATTTCTTACAACCTCTCCCTATGTTATTCTTGGCCTACCCCTGGCTATTCTCCTCCACATTTAGGCTTATGTATCTCTTGATCCACTTGGTCTCATCCATTCTCTCCACTTGCCCAAACCATATCAGCCTGCCTCCACACAGGACTTTGCCAATACCCTCAATATTCAGCCGCCTTCTTAGCTTTGAACGGGGCCTCCTGTCTTTCAATGTGACATGACTCATCCACCTCGCCATTTTCGTTTCAGCTCATTCAGGTCTACATACAATATGTCATCTTTAACTACCCATGTTTCCCTGCCATCCAACATTACACTTTTCACACCAGCCACATACATATCTTCCTTTCACTTGGAAGGAATGTCCTCTTGTCATCAACAAAGGTAACAGGTCCCTAAACTTCCTTCCATTTGAGAAACTAAATTTTTTTAAGAGAGTAGGGTGTATGTTAGAGGGAAGGGTGAGTTAAAGTTGAATAAAAAGAAGGGTGTGTTACCTTGTTGTATAACTTAATGTACGCATATACGTCAATGATACATTGAAAAATAAATGCTTTGAATACATTAAAAAAAATGCTTTGTAAAGTTTGGAGAATATATTTTGCAAGTGTAAAATGGGATAGAAGGTTGGAGTTTTCCTGTTTTTATCAGGCAGACTTAAAAATTATTAACTTATTTACTGTAATCTAAAACTCCTGCTTTTAGCCACTTCTTTAAAAGCTGTACCATTCTTACTGGCACCACAACCCTTGGAATGGTGCTCAACAGTCCATAAGTACATAACCTTTAAAAAAAAAGAAGACATATGTATGCATTGACAAGCATTTATTTAAGTACAGTATTATTACTCCTCCTAATGGTCCCCTTGACTGGGTAACACATGCTGGTCATGTCACTGTCTTGAGGCTTTTTAAATCCACCCTCCCCCCATTCTGTCCCCAGTTATTGTGAGAAGCATGTAGCAATTGACCTTAAATGTAACACTTCCTGCATTATATTTATATCAATAATTTTTACTAATGCATGAAAAATTCAAAGTAAAGTGAGGTTTTTTTTAACTCATTTCATAACTCGCTTGTGAAAATTAGCAAATATATTCCAAAAGATTTTTCTTTAACTAATTTCAGGGAACATGCAGCATACTACAAGACAGACCTCATTGTACATGCAATATTGGTTGGTCTGGGAAAATGTGTGATAATTGTACTGACAGTAAGTAAACTCACAATTAGAAATATTAACACATCACTATTTATTTGAATGGCCTCACATAATTTCACAAGTGGTATACTAGATACATTAGGATATAAGGAAACACAGGTGGGAGGGAAGTGATATATGCGAGTAAGGGAATGGTTAGATGGTGTGTTCTGGAAATTGATGAAAATTGTAAAAGAATAAAAATATACTGAACTGAATTGGCAAACAATATTTCATAATTATTATTTTTTTCTACCAGGAATATAGAAGGAGCCATTAGTGACACACCTGTCTGTCAATATGTCTTTATGATTTTACATCTCTACATTTCAATGAACAGACTTTTATCAAACTGTTGGCCAGTCACTCAGGAAGCATTGCACATCACTCTGTATGTAAAGTACCTTGATGACCACTACAACATTATATAAGAGAAGAAACCCACACTGGTAGAGGAAATGTGGGTTTCTTCACATACATTGTTCTTCACGTTATGATGACTCTCCAGGCATCATGGATCCCTCGTAGAGACACATACTCCTCAACAGCATTAATATCAAGTAGTTCACCATTAGATACTATAAATTAGAAATGTCATTTTAAAAAGAGCAGTATCATGAAAGAGAATGGGTAAATAAGAGGGGTATTGGTGCAGATTTGTGGATATAACTTACAGTAGAATTCTTATTTTACACATTTTGTCCCAACAAAAAATAAGAATTGAATATTCTTACAGGGGCAGTGTGTGAAGATCTGTGTGGAAATTTTGAGTGTGAGAATGAGGGGAAATGCACCATCTTTCCTGGACCTCCTCGACAGGCCCGCTGTTCCTGTGCTCCGGGGTACCATGGTACACACTGTGAGATGTCCGTTTGTCAGGACTACTGCCACCATGTGAGTTGCCGGCCAGCTAATACTTTATCTAGTTGAAGTAGATTTAAAATATATTTCTCCACAGATGAAAACTAAATCATCACCTTTATGATTCTGTCTCCAAATGGGAAATACTTTTAAGTAGATTTTTAATATATTTCTCCATATATACTGTATTTAGAAAAGGATACTTTATAAGATGTTGGTGGTACAGCGGTAATGCGCATAACTCTCACCAATATGTCAAGGGTTCGAGCCTCGGCCTGCACACATGTGAGAAGGGCTTTATCCATTGTGATCCTACCAAACACCACAGGTTTCCCGGTCCCCAGTTTCCTCCTGTACTAACACTGGATAAACCGCCCAAATAACTAGTAAGCTGATAAAAAAGAAAAGATTGTCCCACATGAGAATTACTGTAATTGTCATGTACTAGACCTAAATGACTAGGTTGAGTAGTTTTGGATATAGTTATCTTCATATTCTGATAGGTGGTGCTAGAGTGTGTGTGAAGCTGGGTAGTGCTAGATTGAAGCTGGCTAGTGCCTGCTTGAGTTAAGCTGGGTAGTGCTAGATTTAAGCTGTCTAGTGCTTGATTGTGTGAAGCTGGGTAGTTGCTGTATTGTATAAAGCTGGGTAGTGCTAGTTTGTGTGAAGCTGGGTAGTGCTATATTGTGTGAAGCTGGGTAGTGCTATTTGGTGGGAAGCTGGGTAGTGCTGTATATTGTATGAAGCTGGGTAGTGCTAGTTTGTGTGAAGCTGGGTAGTGCTATATTGTATGAAGCTGGGTTTTAGTTATAATGAGATTCTTAGCTTTAGTGTATTCAGGTTTCATCCTGAAGAAATTTGACTTTCCATTATGAAATGGGATTTCTGGATCAGTCCTTCATTTTTAATTTGACACCAGTTTGGAGAAACTACTGAGTCAAAACTCAACTGTCAAAGAGGGATGAGGCAAAAAGAAGCTACAGGTACAGTGATATGAAGTACAGGCTGTAATGTGAGTGTTCTCTGTCAAAGGGAGTGATCTTTGTCTGACTCATCATGACTTAAGGGTTTACAGAGAAAATCCTGTAAAACCTGGTTGCTCATTTCTCGCTTTTATGAAATTAGTAATCAGTCTAAAGCATTATTATTATTATTATTATTATTATTATTATTATTATTATTATTATTATTATTATTATTATTACTACTATTATTATTATTACTATTATTATTATTACTATTATTACTATTATTATTATTGTTGTTATTATTATATACAGGATACATACCGTATATCTCGGCTAATAAGACGGAATTTGAACATTAAAAAAATCTGCCCAAAGTTAGGGGGTCGTCTAAATCACCAAGTATAAAATTCTTACCTCTTAAATATTGTGGTTTAGTGTGTCAACAGTGGTGATGGAAACATCGTAAGCCACTCACAAGGTCTTACCACTAATTATTTTATACTGAAACTTACGTTTGGCAAGCTGGATTCAAATTAAGATTACTGGTATATTAAAATAATAAAAATGTATTATAAACCTGTCTAACATACCGTAAAAGAGAATTATACCCCTGTAATAAACACAGCTATCATCACACACCCCTCCCCACGCCCCCCCATTTGCCAGTGAGGAGACAAGAAAGGGAAAGTGACCGCGAGATTGGGCTATTTTTAGCCGTGGAGGTGGTCAGTAATGCATATCGGTATATTTACTGATAATAATACTTCTCCTATAAATAATTAATTTAAAATTTATTTTTTTACAAGAAATATTCAGTAAATGACTACATTAATTCTTGAAACTACTGACAGTTAAATACAGACGCTTAAGTGACGTCACTAGTGTTTACACTACACCAGCTGGTAACATTTGATGCCATTACAGTACTCCCTCTTTATCGACGGGGGTTACGTTCTGTAGACGGCCGTCGATAAAGAAACCGTCGATACCGTGATGGTTACGTAATTTTTCTAACTATTATTAGCATATGTTGAATAAATGTACCTTTAAGCATTAATGCGTTTCCTTTACACATTACCTTAAATAATAGTGTATAAATAATAATATAATAAGTGGACAAAAATACTAGCAAACTTACGATTTCATTTATTGAAGTGAACATCGGTCCTTACAGTAAACAAAACAGTGTACAGTACAGTAAAAGTCCAAAAATCCGGATGCCCAAGGCAAATTGTTTACCATTTATTATTACAACACTTTACACTGAAACGCGGGTAGTTTCAACAAAAATATTGTATATTTCCATTCAAGTATTTATTCAAGTCAATTAGGAGGGAATATTATTGTAATACAACAGTTTTTTAACTAAACCATTCGAAAAGTGATTACGGTAACATCTTTTGAACGAAAGAAAGCGCAAGTCATTGTTTTCGTCACGATTTGATCCCACTTTCCACTGTAATACATACGTCATTTCAACAAAAATATTACATTTCCGTGAATGTATTATATCAAGCACAGTATGAATAGAATATCATTGTAATATAACAGAATTTTAACCGAAAACTATTAAAAAAACGAGTAACATCTCAAGAACATTGGAAGGTTAGGTAAAGTCTTTTGTTTTCGTCATGTATTTTATCCTATTTTACATTGAAATACGTCACGTTTCAGCAAAACTACTATTTATTTCCGAGAATATATTCATTCAGGCGCAGTTTAGGTAAAATATACGTGTGATGTAATAATTTTTTAACTGAAAACGATTCGAAAAACACGTAGCCTCTAGCCCTGTTCAAGGAGAGGACTGGGAGAAGCTGTTTGGTGCTGCAGACGATGACAAGGAAAATGATTTTGATGGATTTTAATGAAAATATTCAGAAATATGGTATCGTAATATTTATTCAAGTCAATTAGGATATTATTGTAATACAATACAACAGTTTTTTAACTAAACCATTCGAAAAGTGATTACGGTAACATCTTTTGAACGAAAGAAAGCGCAAGTCATTGTTTTCGTCACGATTTGATTCCACTTTCCACTGTAATACATACGTCATTTCAACAAAAATATTACATTTCCGTGAATGTATTATATCAAGCACAGTTCAAAATAAAAATCCGGCTAAATAATCCGTCGATAATCGAAACCGTCGATAAAAAATCCGTCGATAAAGAGGGAGTACTGTACTGTATGTATGTTGTGTTGTCAAAGTTAGAGGAACAATTCAAACTGCAATTGTGTGTAACAAGGAATCTTTCCAATATTCTTTAACATATTAAAATTTCATACTTAATACAGGGTTATTGTGAGATACGGATGGGAGTCCCAATTTGTGAGTGTGATAGAGGATGGACCTCAAGCCGGTGTGATATTCCCAGCTGCCAGAAAGGAGGTGACTATCAGTTCCATCTTTTATATATATATATATATATATATATATATATATATATATATATATATATATATATATATATATATATATATATATATATATATATATATATATATATATATATATATATATATATATATATATATATATATATATATATATATATATATATATATATATATATATATATATATATATATATATATATATATATATATATATATATATATATATATATAAACAAACTTGACTCGCCCACTAACATTCAAGTAAATAATTTACTATACAAATTTTACAGTGAGAGTGAATAATTGTTCTTTACTTTTTAATTATCTTTCTTTATGTGATTTAAAAACAGATTCCCCATTTAAATGATTAATACACAATTTGCTTTCTTATTGGAGTAACACATGTTAAGTTCCCTACACACTAGTCATCGAAGACAAAGGTTTTTAAGTTTACCCTTCTCCAATAGATCCAAATTGTGGCTGTCCTAAGGGTTATCATGGGCATAACTGTGAGCACAGGGTGTGTGACAACTACTGCGTAAAAGTAAGTCCTGCTTAAGGTTGTGAACATTTTATTCTCAAGTTTTGATATTGGTAAATGGTCCTGTATTTTAAATTTGTATGGTTAATTTGCTTCATGATATAATTTAATATATTTTAGAAGTATGTACAGTTGCTTTAATTTCATGGTAACTGTTGAGGACATTGTTTATATTTTCTTCCTAATATTTATTGTTTCACTCCTGCATGATGTTATATTTTTGGGAAAGAAAAAAGAGCCTGGAAAGTATTTCTAAGAAGGTGAATCAGAAATTTGTGTGTCTGGCTGTAGTAAACGTTTCGTACAATGTAATTTGATTTAGGTCTACACAAGCAGTAATGTAAAATGCAAAACACTGCATTTATCATTTATTTCTTACTTGTCAAATGTGATAGTTATTGTAGAATATTCTTTACTGACAAGTTTCACGTATCTTTGTTAGTACACTATTTCGACAGAAATAAAAGTACCTGTAATCCTTAGAAAACTTGCTGCCCCATTTTCCTTTTTTCTTTGTCATAGTAAGATTTGAGGTAGAAATGATGCATAAAATCTCGAGGCTTTGTGTTGGAGTGATGGTGGTGATGTCAAAATTTATATTAGTAGTTCAGTATCATGTCTGTCACTAAATACCTGTGTTTTGTATTTTCTTTGGTTGCATTAAGGAAACCAAGGTGGATGCACCCTACTTTTCTTGTAGAGATGAATAATATAATCTGGCTCTAAGAAAAAGCTTTTATTAGTGAGACGGAGGCAATTAGAATGAAGGATTGAGCGCTGAATCATCTACTGTAAATAAGAATGAATGGAGTTAGTTTCTTAGAATATAATTTATGATAATAAAGAAAAAATATTTTTGAGGAACAGAACCCTTGTAATGTAAGGTGACTACTGTAACTGTGTTCTATCATTATAACACAACTACAGGTATTCTGATTTCAGTATACACTTTGAATCCTCTTATTTTTTTACTGTTCTATAATAGTTTGTGCATATCTTAGGTCATGGAAATAATAGAGATAACTATTGATATGACAGAAATTGGTTGTACAGTACAGTACTTCTTTCCAGGCTCTTTTGTAAACCACAGTTTATGTATATGGTTATATGTATCAATACAGTATAGTGTGTATGAAGCTATAAGCCCCTCTTCCCCCTATAATTACTTGAAGACTTGATGTCTTCTTTTTCAGTCCAGATTATATAAAATACTTTTTTTTATAATATAAATATGTGACATGATTGTAGTTAGTGCATCAAGTGTGTGTTGTGACATTTAGTTGAAGGCCTGTGGTTTGCATGACTGTGTAACAGGGAAGTTGTCATTTGGACGGAGAAGCTCCTATCTGCAAGTGTCCTCCAGGCTACACTGGTGAGAGATGCGATCACTATAAATGTGACCACTATTGTCATCGCGTAAGTTTAAGTTACATGGTTCATTTTATTACTATCAATAAAAAGTAATTCCTTGTAAATCACACTATGAATACTGTATGTATATTTACTGGATAAATTGAAGATGATGAAACATTAGTTATTACATTGTACATTTTGAAATATCCAAACTTGGAATATGGATTTAATACTCAATATAGATGTTCGCAAAGTTATCCTCCCGACTAACCTGATGGTTTATTATTACAGGGATCTTGTCGTATTACTGCTGATGAAGCTGTATGTGACTGTGAGGATGGCTACACTGGTCCACACTGTACTGTACCCATCTCTACTTCTGGAGTGTGTTCTCCTAATTATTGTGAAAATGGTGGATCATGTGTCATGTTAAATGGCAGGGAACGGTGCAAATGTTCTTTGGAGTACACAGGTGACAGATGTCAGACGCATTCCAGGGCTGATGATAACCTGTGTGCTAACATAAACTGCCTGCACGATGGAATCTGTCAGGTAAAAGTTTCTTGTTATATTTTTCCCATTGATTATGAGAAAATTATAGAATTTTAATTGCATGTGTTTTTAAGAAGTTCATTTGATAAACTTGTGTCTCATAATAAGGAATTGGACATGTACAATATGTAGATTAATTATATGGTTAAATTCTGTACTAACAAAACTACAGATGAGCTTTGGTAGAGCAACTTGTCTCTGTAGTCAAGAGTGGACGGGAGAGAATTGTGGACTACGGGTCGGCTGCGATGAGGAGTGGTGCTTAAATGGTGGTATTTGCAGTATTGATCCTGACCACAATGTACAACCTATTTGCAAGTAAGTACCATACATTACTGTTAAATTTAGTGTGTACTTCAAGGCTATAGTAATAGATTATTGAATGTTGCATAGAAGTTTTAGCATTTGCAGATGATTTTGTTATGGGGAGAACAACTGATAGACATAAAGATAGATTTGCCAGATTACTAGTAGAAGGTGGACAGAATGGAATAGAGAATAGTGGAACTGAGGAAGAGATAATGAATTAACACAGATGAATGAAAAGAAAGTCATATCAGAACCGGGAATCTTTGCATAGAATACTCACAGCCCTTGACATATCTTACAAACAGAAATTAAATGGAATTAGAAATCACCCTTTTAATAGCACTAGTAAACTAGTTTCAAAATCATATTAACTAAAAACAAGGTGTGCTTTATATTTAAATCAATGGTGTTCCAATACAGTATATCTTTTTCAGAGACATCCTTAAGGTTTTTTTTTTTATGATTTGAATGTTTTCATTCTTCTTATTTTCATTCAAAGATGCCGTGAAGGATACAGTGGCCCACGTTGTGAGTCACCAGAGACACTCATGGCAGATAAAGTGGAAAATTCGTCACCAAACGCTGCCACTGTCATCATAGGTGTCTTTGTTGCTGTAAGTGAACATACTTGTGGTATATACAGTACATGCAAATTTTTCTGTCTGTCTTTCTTAATATCTGAGTGTGTATTTGTTGGGACAGGTTTGAATTGTACTCCTTAAATGCAAAAAAAAAAACCGTGGATGTTAAAGAGTGTGACAGTGTCAAATATATTTCATATGTTGACTTTTTGCCTTTGGGGCATTTTATTTATTTTTTTTTTAGAGATTTGTTTCAATTTGCTTTGAAAATATTACTTTTTGGGAATTATAGATTTGTTCACTCTTTATGGTTCTAACTTTTATGGCTTCAGTTTTATGCCCCTTAAAAAATTGTCAAAGAAATTAAATATCATTTAAAACTCACCAGGTGATATTCTTACTGTCAAGAGTTCTCCCTGCAACATTGTTTATGGATTTCATTTCTTGCATGCATGAATACAGTAGACCTTTGCCATTCGCAAGGGGTAGGTTCCAAGAAATGGCGCGAATTTGGAAAACCGCGAATAGCAACTTATACTACCTTAGTACACTACTGTATACCTATACCAAACAATTGACCAGCTGCGGCAGCACTCATCCCCTTTTAACTTATCGAATAATAAAACTCTTTGTCAGGGTCATCACTGACTTCTGCCTTTTTCATTTCACTCCACTAGCACTGACACTAGGCAGTCTTTTAGGGGCCATTTCACACAGAAACACTAAAGTTTTGAGAGTACAATACGAGATGCTGCGTGGCGTGACTCGTTGTGCTGTGGGAAAAGACTTGCAAGCTAGCCACCATAGCCACCATCTGCTTACTGCGAATCGTTGAAATCGCGAATCGCAAACTCGCAAATGGCAAGGGTCTACTGTACACACACATCCTCATGTTCTGAAATGAACAGATGATTTCTTTGTAGGACACACTATAAATTCACTGGAGCAGCAATGAAACTCAGTTCTTTAGAAATACCAAGACAATGGAGAAATCTAAATTAGTTTAGTTCAGAGAGAAGTGTGAACACCATTTGTTGTACCGTTCTCAAGAATTATATGATAGTTGGCAGACATTTTTTATATAATTTAGTTAACAATAGTTACTATAAAATCCTAATTCAGTTCTGATTTTGTAAGTATTGATGGGTGAAAACATTTCTCACTGAGATTGGAAGCTACAAGAGTGCAAAGATCACAAGTGTTCTTGTAGCTTCAGAAATATAAACACTGCTTTCAGATTGTAGTGTTGGTTGTAGCAGTCGTCGTAGCCTGGGTGTGGCAGCGTCAACGAGGGAAGGGCATTAGCCATGTACGTCTGGAGGAAAATGGTGGAACGGTAGAGATGACCAACCCCGTGTACATGCATGCCTCTGATGACCAGGAGGATGACCCTAACCCTGTCTTCACCCTTCATGACTCGGTAAGCTAGTTTAGCCAGCACCGCTTCTAGTCTGTCACTCTTTGCTTCGTCTTTTTATTGAAATTTTTGAGAACTTGGTTTAAGATGACCTTTAATAATATCCATGAAAGATTAAGCAAAGTTTGATTCTAGAAATCCAATTTGTAGAGATGAATTGAATAGCAATTCTTAGCCATATTTAGAGAATATCTTTTAGTGTTTGAATAATATTGTCATATAAAGATATTTAGTTAAAAACAGAATCACTTACATTTTCCTTTATAATATACAGTAGTACCCCGATTTACGCGGTCAATTGAACCCACGGGGTACCGCGGAAAGTGAAAACCGCGTAAAGTGAACAACAGAACATATGGGATTAATTCCAATAGAGACTGGCCCGACCCCCAAACTCCATTTTTTCCGACACAATACCTATGTTGTAGTAAAAATAACATCTTAATTTTATGATGGTATGCTCACACAATTAATATTTAAGAGAAATACAGTCGCCAGGTTAATGTCCATTCAAATAATGGACTCAAATCCCCCCCCCCTCCTCTTCCCAGCTCTCTGAGAAACGATTGGGTGAAAACACTAGATTTTAACATTTAGTAACAAATAATACCTCAGACTAAAGTTAGGATAATATACAGTGGGGTATGCTATAACGAATCTAATTGGTTCTAGAACCTCGTTCGTTATAGCATTCGTTTGTTATAGGAATAATTTGTTCCAGGCCCCCAAATACAACCACTTAACACTGAAAAATTTCTGTGGAAATTGTAAAAAATACGGTACTTTATCTTACCTTAGTGTTGTTAGCATGCAGGACAGGAGGCAGAGGAGGAGGGGGGAGGAGAGAATTATGAAGAAGAGGTGGAAGGAGAGGAGTCATCCTTCCTAGCCCTCTTTGGTGATTGTCTTACAGGCACTTTGTCTGTTTATTTATAATTTCTTTCTTAGTTTCAAGGGTTATTAGCTTTCTCACTCGTTTTTGACGATTCATGGTTACAATTGTACACTTGTATAACAAAATAGTTATAAAAAGAACACAAATTTCCACATCAAAAGACTAAATTTCAACAAGTTCAGTGGTGCACTGACTACACAATGAACCAATATGGCGCCTGACGCTCTTGCTGTGAACCGCGGTACAACAATATTCATGCGCCAGACGAAATGGTCCCGTATTCATCTGCGTTCGTTGTAGGAGTTGCGTTCGTTATAGCATTCTCAATTTTATAGGTAAAACCGTTCGTTATAGCATACCCCACTGTAATTGACATTTCTGGATTCCTTGCAGGTCAGGGAATATTTTGAATGTAAACTTCATATATTTTGCACAAAAGATAAAATATTTGCTTTGTGTAAACCAAATTATTACATTAGATCTAAAATTTGTATGTCTAATGCAAAATCCATGATGTTTATATTCAAAATGATCATCATATTGTAAGGATTCCAGCAATGTAAATTATATTCTGGCCGGGTAATTTGTATGAATTTTATGAGCTAAATAAAAAATTATACTTCACCCGCGTATATGAGTAGATGCACCATGTAAAATGAAATTACGGTTCTGGCTAGGTACCGCATAAATGTAGAATCACAGATGTAGAATCGCGTAAAGCAAAACCGCGTAAATCGGGGTATTACTGTACATACAGTCAGACTTCTGATCTAATTTCTCTTTATTGGACTGTAAGATAAAAAATTTTTTGTTAATTAGCATCTCCCTGGATTGGAATTACTATACTGTATACTACACTTCTGCAGCTTTCTTGATGATTTTTTTTTTAAACCAATGGATTTTATTATTTTCTGACCCTCTCTGCATCTCACTGTCACTTCTAATTCATCACCTCCTCCTTTTCTGTTTAGAGTCATATCCCTTTGCACTCTTTAGATTTCGTTCCCTTTGTCTGCTCATTTTTCTTACCCGCCTGGTTATCTCAATGGCACATTATGGTAAGTCTTTAAGGAGCATGTAATTTTCATAAAATATGAAACTAGTCAGAATACAGTATAAACTCTTTATGTTACTCTTTAATTGTGTGTCATCATTATGTAATTTAATATTGTATTGTACAGTATTTTAACCATTACGAAACTTTACTTAAATCAACATTAAAAAACTTCACTTGCATCACCATTAAGAATGAGAAATAATGTACAAGCATTGACGATAATTTTAACGACAGACATCATCTGGTTTACGGAAGGATTCCGTTCTTGAAATTTTTTCTGTAATGTGGGTTCAATTTTCCCATTGAGTGGTACACAAGAAAGGGCTTTATCTTCATATTATCTCCAGCAGCATTACCTCCCAACAGAAGCATTAGACGATCCTTTGAAGCCTTGAATCCTGGTGCTGACTGTTCTTCATTTGACATAAATGTCCTAGCAGGATTGCACTTCCAAAAAAAGGCCAGCTTCATCTACATTGCATACTTGTTCTGGTGTGCAGCCCTCTGCAGCAATAATTGCCTTCAGTTCTGCTGGATATTTATGTGCAGCCTCTGTATTAGCACTGGCTGCTTCACTGACCATCTAAATGTTATGCAAATTAAGGTGCTTCTTAAACCTTTTAAACCAGCCTTTACTGACATTAAAGGGCTTTGCATTGGAATATACACCTTGTTCCTTCTGTAAACCACAATACAAACGTTTGGCTTTTTCCTTAAATGATCATAGTGTTTATCAGCACATTTTGTATGGTATGATCCTCAATCCACGCATTCAGGAGGTGTTCCATATTAAGCATCGCATCACTGAAATGAAAGTACGGCTTTGGCACTAGACTTAATTTTGTTTCTGTTGTCACAGATTGTGCCCATTATTGAGGTACCGAGGCCCAATATTTTGGTGATGTAGCTGAGTTTTCTCCCTCATCAAACCGCTTTAACACATAAATCTTTTTGTCTGAAGTAATTCCTTTATGTGATCTTTTAACACCACTACTTGCACTTACACTTGATAGCCTTTTTCCTCTCATCTTGAATAAGTATACTACACAGTAATACAGTCCTGAACACAAAGGCAAAACTGAACACAAGCTGGGGACTGAATTCAAACCATTGTTGTTGTTGTTGTGGGTCCTTAACTGTCGTGTAGCAACCACCTATAATCCACACGAAATAAATTTAAATTTTTTTGTAAAAGTGTTGGTTATAAATTGCGACCTTTTTTTTCCCCATAAAGGCAAATCATGGGCCCGTATCCTGAATTTTTGGTCATGATTTCCAAATTTCATAAGCGCGAATTTCCATAACCTGAGTTCCATAACGCGGGGGGTGTCTGTATGTGCAATAATACCTCGCCAGCAGTGTCCTAAAATTATTTTGTGATCTAGTGAGAAACAAGAGGTTTGGGGAAGTGACCCCAGAGAGACATAACTAAAGTCTTGAGTAGGCATGTATAGACCCTCACAGTTCTCTTTGACACATGCCACTCAGTCCAAGTCACTGGAGACATGGTGTGAAAATCCTGCTCCCTAACCCCTGTATGGGCCAACATATTCAACTTCTTAATCACTGTTTTCCAAGTATCTGCGTCTTTTCTCATTACTTGTAACTACTCATCATCTTCTTCAATGTGTCTGTTACTGGAAAGAATTTTTCCTTGTGTGTTTGTTACTTGTCATCTTTCTCAGTGTGTTTGTGACCAATCAACTCTTTTTATGATTGTCATTCAATATATATCCCTCTGTTTATCCAATCAATGTCTCTCTCATTATAATCTATCAGCATCTTTCTCATTATTTGTAACCAATCAGCACTAGTCAAAAAAAATTTGTAACTAATGAAAGTCTTTTTCAGTGTGATTGTAACAAACATTCATCATATTCATTGTATGTAAGTCATTGACATCTTTCTATACATTTGTAATTAATCAACAGCATTCCCACTGTGTTTGTAACCAGTCAAATGCTCTTTGAATATGTAACTAATCAAAGCCTTTCACATTGTTTTTAATCAATTAGCATCTTTCTCTTTGTAACCAATCACCATCTTTCTCTAGGTCTCTTCATATGCTGTGTGTCACTTACACAACAGGAGTAAGTTTTTTCTTCTCGGGAACAATTTAGTCTAGTGCATGCTCTCCCACCCCCTTATTAATTTCAGCAGCTGTATCTTTGGGAATGTTAATGCAGAGTCACTAGTTCTATTCTCAAGTACTGTACTGTATTATATGTTTTTTTTTTCATAGGTAAAATTGATTAGGAAAATATATATTTTTAGTTTGTAGCTCAATTTTACTGTACAGCCTCTTCCACTTCCAATTGTTAAAATCAGTGTTGTCTTTTCACCATCTTCGTGTGGTGTGAACCCAGCTATATCAACTCTTGAATCCAAAGAATTCTCAAGTGAGAGAGAAAGAGAGGCCAGGGAAGGACGAGAGCCGGTGTGAGTGGGTAGTGGGGTAATACAGGGGTTGAGGAGGGTCAGAGTGTAGGGGGGGATAGAGGGGTGGAAGAGAGATAAGCAGTTACCTTTGCAGTTACAACACAGGATATATTAAACAAGGATATAAAAACGTAGGACAAATCACAAATTATGAGTAAAATGTGTTACTGCACATTAGGGTGGTATTCCCAGCTTGTGCTACAGGTCTGAACCATTCTGTGCATATACTGTATTTACTGTCAAGAATCTATTAAATAATTGGCCACTGTGATAACAAAACAATCCCCCTTCTCCCAAGTCGCACACACATGTAGTGGTTATGCTGTATTCCCCTGTGCCCTTCCCTCCTCCTGCCAAAACCTAAGCAACTGTCACTTACTCCGTGGATGATAGGGGGATGGGCTGGTCTCTCTACATATGGTGTCGTGTTTGACAACTTCTTGGGTATGCATCCGTTATTCATTGGGTCATAAATGTAACCCCGTCGTAAACAAATTATTTTAAATAACAATATCATGAAAATAATACATCATTGACCAGGAGTTCCACTCTTTTTTTTAATGCAGGTTGCTATCTATCTGTTTTCTACTGGATGGTGAGGTGAAGTTGAGAGAAGTGAGTAGAGGGGTTGTCAGTGCCAGGCACAGTTCAGGGTACAGGTGCACTAAGTCTAGTAAGCAATCCTCATAATGTGAACGCAGATACAGTACTTTAAAATTTCTGGTGTTTGCATAGGTTGGGAAACACCAATAGCACATTATTGTCCACTGCTTGTTAACTTTCACCTATACCTGCATGGACAGGACAATGTGTGCCTCTCTCTTCAAACCTTGTGAATGCTTCGGATTCATGAGTCGATACTCCCAGGGTTCAAACCACACGGAGAGAGTGGATTGACAACATTGATTGTAACAGTTGGAAGTGAAAGGGCCTGTACAGTGTATGTACAGTTTGTGTATCAGAAGCAACACATCTTTCTTGTATACAGTGTACTGAATACTGTACAGTAATATTAGTGATATTGCCTAATTATAAAGCCAAAATAGTTTACGAGCTCTTCATGAATGCAATAAATAAACCTCTTTTAGATTGGTTAAAGATTAATTACTGTGTAGGTACAGTAAACCCTTGTTGTTACATGATTTGGTATGATGCAGTACTCTTCAACGAGGTGAACAACGACAGGATTTGATTGCACAGGTTTCTCTGCATGCACTTATGCAGGTTTTGCCTCATAAACTTTCTTAGTGATCCCAAAGTGAAGGGCACCAATATCTCTCCTTATTACCTACAACCCAGTCTACACTCCATCATTTATAGTACACTACAGCTTTTACTGTATGATCACCAGAAAATGCATCATACTATGAATAGTCAGATACAGTATAGAAGTAATATATTACTAATATTTGTATACAATAGGACCTGTATTGCAGTACGAATAAAAGTAACATCCAAAAATATGATTCGTTGCTAAGACAGCCAAGTGACATGTTGGCTTTGGTGTCGTGGAGGTGTATAGTGCATTCTTAGTTGTGGCCAGGTGCTTGGTGGTTGACATCTCCAGTTAATTAGTTACAACCTGTCCTACATTAAAATTTTACACTACAGTATAAAAATACACACACACACACACACACACACACACACACACACACACACACACACACACACACACTGTTGCCATATTTGTATCCATGACAATGGGTTATGAAATTCATGCATATTAGCACAGTAGGCAAAGACTCTTAGTCCTTGCCTGCTTGACAGCTGACATGATTAAGTGCCCATTTTTTAGGAGCAATGGTTGAGTTGAGAAGGATACTATTCTTTAAATTCCTGGAATTTAGTTCTGGTCATACATGTCAGGGCACCTGAGAACCCTAGGTTGTCAGACCCATATACTATATGTGTTGATTTCATGAGTTGTTTGGTCTTTTGTTTGGCTCTAAGACAGGATATGAGGATCAGTCCCTCATTATTCACCCTTCATTTCAAAATAAGGAGCATAACACCTTGACTCTGGACAATCTTAGAACGTGATCATGATTAAGACATCAAGGGCTGCTTTATAACCATTTTGATATTACTGCAAGTGAACATCTGATATCTTATATGACTAATAATGGAAACTAGATATTGATAAAGGTTAGTCACAACGTATTTAAGTATTACAAGCAGTGTTGTAAAACTTTACCCCTTTTATGATAATGAAAAAGAATGATTCATTTTATCCTTTATTATTTTAAAACAGCCAAACACCTTCAAAAACCCAGTATACGACAGCCTTTACAGCGAAGAAGCTGCAGCGTCCACCTTACAGGAGGAGAAGACTGGTTTGCTACTATCGGACCCTCTGGGCGCCCTAGACACAAACCTGCCCACTGGGTCCAAGTCTTAACGCCGGCTCTTCCACCCAACCTTCATCTTCCACAAAATCATAATACAGCAACTTACATGGATATTTAAATAATGAAAAGACTTTATTGTTGATGCAAATTGTCATTTATTGAAATGAAAATGAACAATTAAGACACTATGATGCCTGAAAATGGTGATTTATAGTTCTAGCTACCTGTCTTAAGTAAAAAAAAAAATCTTCCTATATGTCTGTCTCACTTCATGCCCTCAGGTAACTCCCCTTAAAGGAGTGGCCACAGTGACAATCCTCCCCCAACATATCAGCCACTGACTGTTACCCTCTCTTCCAAGTGTTCAAGATTATAGCAATGTATAGATAATAGTTAAAATTTTTACATGCTGGTCTTGCCATCACCAAAAGCAACTGCCCTTCATGTAAATGGAAAACAGGAGCACTTGGAAAGGATGAAGCTTATTGTCAGCTTACATTCAAAATGAGAAGATATGAAAAGAAGAGAAGATGGAAAGGTTCAGTTATGGAAACTATCGTTGTAATAATAGTGTTCATAAAAAGGAAAATTTGGAGTTCAATAGTGTGGCTGAGTGAGTATGACCGAAAAGAAAATACAAGTAACAGTAAAGGCTTATTGTGGACTCTATCCAAGTCAGTCCTTTCATGGGCAACCTGAGGCTAATGAGTCCTTCACTTACTCTAGGACTATTTTCAGATACCTATAATCTCTTCACAGATGTATCAAGTACCATCCATATATATTTGTGTGATAGTGACTCCTGCCAGTGCATCAGATCTCTATTTTTCTTCATCTTCTTCTTTTCATGTCTTTTGGCAATTGATCATTTTTCTTGTCACCTTTAATAATACCTCCTGAAATATTTCATTTTGATTAGGTTTCATGATGACAAGGGACAATAAGTCAATTGCATTAAGTCAAATACAGCTCTTGTATGAGGTGTGAGGGAGATTTTTAATTAAAGCAGTAAATGTCTTGCAGTGAAAAGTATTTGAAGTTAGTTTTATGATTGGTGGTGCAAACATTAGTCAGAATATGTACAGGAAAATATTTGCGACAAGGTAGTTGATTACTGCTTTTTCTTTAATTTATTTAATTTTAATAGATTGTAAAAATATTTTCAAATGCACAAAGTTTTATTAAGAACTGTATGATACAGTACATGTTAGAGACTTACATCTTGATTTGTCGAGGTGTAGTAAACTATTATGTCTCATACCCAGACGACTGTGACCAGTAACTTGTATGTGTGGTACATTTTTGGTCAGGAAGAAGGTGAGGACACTTGTATACTCCACTTATTTTTCATAAGAAGAGTAGCAATATTCCTTCTTGTCTATAAATACAGTTTGTATAAAGTTATTCTTTGTTTAAGATAATTTTTCATCTTTTGGATTTCATAATTTTGATAGTTTGCATCACATATAAGTGAAGCATTGTAGACATTTGATTAAGGACCTTCTTCAAAGTTATGGAGTTATTAGTGCCCCTCAGTTCATGACCATTGAGGTGCAGGGAAAGTAAGTGTGACAATAACTGGCCATTTGATACGTCAGGGCAGGTCTGGCTATGCATAACGGGCAAAAAGGTTTCTCAGTGTATCAATCATTCAGAATTGGTATTCATGGAGCTGGCTGATGTAGCTGGCAATATTAATAGTTGTCCTGATATAGTCATACAAGACCTTTTTTTATTGATGACACAAATTCCCAGAATTTATAAAATATTAATTTTGTTGCAGAAGGATGACCATGTACGGTGTATTGGTACTCAACATATGCAATTATGCATACCTGGTAACTTCAGTATTTTTTAAATGTTCAGAAGTTTGTAGTTCAGCAAGAGAATTACCATTGGTGATGATACTCTGTTATTACCAATTCAGTTAAAAGTTTGATAACATCGTGTGAATATTGTAGTCAATTTATTGATGATGATATAATTAATAACTTGTTCATTATGTCAAGTCAGGCATTTTTAGTAAAGATTGTTATTTTCCAAAGACCACTTCAGTAACTTTGTTTTTCTCAACTAGAGTTCCTGTTACAATTAACAGAAAAGTACATTTTCTGCTCCAGAGCATGTTATTGGGTTTGTCTCTCTATTGCTCATGTTGTTAGTATCACTTTTGTATGGGGTGGACCATGGGGTACAGGAACTCAAAGTAAGGAGATAAATGTTGTGTGAGAGTTATGTAAGACAAGTATAGAGGGGTAGAAAAGGTCTAAGGCAACAAGTAGAAATGTACTAGATATCAGTGAGGATTTATTTTCTTCAGTGAATTATCATCTGACATATAGGTGATAGAGAACTCTGTTGAAGAAATTAGACTTGTGAAGATAATTGTTTTGTCTATCGAATGGCAAGAAGCAATAATGACATATAATCCATGTAAGGAGGAAATATGGAGTAGGAGTAATGAATGGAGAGAGAATTAGGGAAATTCAAGCGATGTTTATCAGAATAGGAATTGATGTGAAGAATATGTCATTAGGGAGTATGTGTGCAGAATCTGAAATGTTTAGAAAACCTTCCATTACCTGTACAGGAATTATGTTAAATTAATCCGCTTGACACAATTTATTTGTACACTGACGTAATTAACCCTTAATGCTAGAATGAAGTCATGGCATAGCCTTGATTTATTCTGAAATGCATTTTTACAATTATCTTCCCTCTTGCCTCATGGAGATACTTAGGTGTTTGTACCCAGCTCATTCTAAATGTAATTAATGATACAAGTATTATTCTATATCCAGTGAATTAATATATGAACTGTATAAAAAATTCAAGATCTATTTAATATCTGCTATGATCTGTAATTTCCTGCACTTATTGGCTACAAGGATACTCTACCACTTTTTCTTTTGTAGAATACTGTATTTATACTATATGTTGAATTGTATAGGTTTTCAAATGATTCTCAAAGAAAACCTTGTGTTGTAATACTCTTAATGCCAGTACTATTCAATGTGCTTATTTTAAATACAGTTGAGTTCTGCTATAACGCTTGTTTTGACAACACGAATTGGCTCTAACACGATTTATGAATAGAGGAACGATATTTGTATAACACGAACGCTTGTTTGCTGTAACTCGATTTGTGCTTACTATTTCTCCAATTTTGTGGTATTAACTGTGAATATGGTAAAGAAGAATATCTCCAAGAAGCGTTCTGGTGATCACATTCCCGGTGATGATCGTAAAAGAAAGGCTATATAACCCTTGAAGAGAAGCTCGATGTTATCAACCTCAAAATCACCCTTCTCCCCCATCAAGTTATATTCATATTTTTTCAAGGTAAAGTGTTACATTTACTGTGTGATTTCATTTTTAGATATGAATGTAACATTTATTTAGACTGTGCTAACCTTTGTGTTAGGCTAACTACTAAATTTTTTTCGATTTCGAGTAGTAATCTGCACCTAACCCTATTTTCTCCATAAGCCCTGTTATTTCTATTACGCGAATTTCTATAACACAGTGTTTTACAAGAACACACGTTATAGCAGAACTGACTGTACAGCATTTATTATAAGTGCTTCTTTATAACTGGATGCAAAGAAGACTGGCTGCCCCCCCTTTCCTTTTTTCTCAAATGAACTCGCGGGATATTATGGAGTTTCATGCACTGCCACCTACTTAAGCCTGTATTTTGTATAATTGCTATAACTGTTTTAGGAATTAATGGATTTTCTTTAAAAAAAAATTTTACCAGGTACATTGCTTCCATACAAAAGTTTCAGCAAGTGTGATCCATTAATTAGTGAGCCAAGTTTTATTTTTACTTAATTGTAGTTCTGATCCTTTTCTTATTACCTCTGTTTCCAATCCTCTTCTTAGCTCTATTTATGATCCTTCTCATCTTAGCTGTGTTTCCAATCCTTCTCTCCATAGCTGTTTATGATCCTTCTCTTCTTAGCTCAGTTACTTTTTTCTCTCTTATGAAAACCTCTAAATTTGGCATAACTAATAATTCATACAGTATATTTCTCTTCATTAAATTTAGGAAGATTATTTATTAGACAAAATATTCATAATATCAAGGATCTTTGTTAACCTTGACAACCTTTGCTTCTTTGTCATATTTTCTTAAAAGATTTTCTCCATAATGCATATTTTAACCTATTGATATGACCGACAACAACCAATGACTTTCAGTAGGTATGTCTGCCAGTGCCAATACATTATTTATTTATGTCAACCTTATCCATACCAGTTTGTCTTTAACAGAATAACTGACCCACTTCCTGAGCTATACTGTATTGCTAAATGTAATAATCCTAATTCATATCACAGTATACAGCGGAACTTCTCAAAGTCACCAATCATCACTTCACAAAATTGCTACTAAGTTCACAATGACTTCACGTACAACTTTACCTCCATCATGTTCACCGAAACAATGCTGTTATTTTCCTTTTCAAATTAACTTTAATAGAAAATGCTTTAATATTTCTGCAATAGAATATTTTTGTTCATATTTTGTGTGAATTAGATAAACACTATACTGCATATGTTCAAACACTTTGTAAACAGAAACCGTCTCATTTTTAAATCCTTGATGGAGAAAAAATACAAGACCATTTTTATACTTCTAACATGTACGTTTGAAAGTTACAAGTGAGAGACTAATTTTTTAGATATTACTTTAGACAAAACTTGTGTAATTGAGTAAATTTAAATGTCTTCTAAGCATCCAACATATACAACTATGAATTACCTTTGGAAAATCTATAATATAAACATAAAAGTTGGTTTGAGACATCAGTATTGAAACCACATCTGCTGTGTTCAGCCACTAATGAACAACATAGTTGCCACATTATCAAATTTCATAAAAAAGTACCCGTGTGGATGTTTTTTAAATTGGGTTAATAAGCTACATAAAGGATGAAGGCTTCTGTGCCAGTATATCCAAGTCTTTATCCATTTTCTGGGCCAGCCTGTAGTGGTTAGTCCATATGGTACTCTATTTTAGTTTAAACTTCAACCTTTTAATATACAGGGTATGCTAAAGCTGGGCACTTAGACACATATCATAGTTTTTTTTTTTTTTCGTAAGGGTTTATATTCATGGCCTTTGGGTCCATACGTTTATGTTGTACATACATGATATTTTGGGTTCCTGGTCTCAAGATCTATTGCACCAATGTTTAAGTCACTTATCAGCTCTCAAAGTTGTTAATTTACCACCATGTTAGTCCCAAGGATATGCAAACTTGAGAGGTTTCACTGTATATATAAACATGATAAAGGAGCATAAAATTATACCAGTCACGTCTGTTTGAGTGTCTTAACATGGCCATAAAAATGTGTTAACAATATTGCAAATTATGTGGTATCCATATTATAGGTTCAACAGTAAATTAAGGTTCATCGTATTGAAAATTATTAATGACTTATGCACATCTTGTATGACTTGGGTACAGTCAACAGCTTAACACTCTTGGGTTTAGGTAGGTACTCTCTCGTGAGATGCTCAGGGTCTGTCCTGTTACTCGCCTCACAGCACTAGACTGCACCACACAAGAGATAATTGTACATAATTAGTCATAGTCAGCTTGCTATTTGAGATAAAAGAGTGGGATTTATTGCATAAGCATTGTAGATACATTTTCTACGAACAGTTTTGTATGAGTAATCACAATAAATAATTATTTCTATACGTAAGCGAATAGAACACAAATTTTTTTTTTACGCTTAATGAAAATGTTTTTACATAACTTTATACCTTTGTTATTTCACATGATTGCAATATTATATGAACCTTATTCCATTATAAAGTGTACATATTTAGGAAAAAATACTTATACGTATAAGAGAAGTTGTGAAAAATAACAATTTTGCTAGGTAATAGTGGTGTAAATTTTGCATTCGGATGAGCGTGCCCTTGCCGAGTACAGATTATTCATTTTTTCCCTTTGGATGCAAAAGATAATTGCACATACTGTACTGCATTAAGTCATAGCACTAGGACAGCTTGTTAAAGGGCCATACAAACTATCACTTATGCTAGAAGGGCCAGAGACACTGGAAGAGGCATCAGGAGGCACCACACTATCACCATGTGGTGCAATCTCCTTGTACATTTTACGTTTTCCCACCCTTCCACCCTCGTCAACAACACAAGGCATGGCTCAAATCTCTCGCAACACTGTTATGAATAAATTAAATCACTGTGATGCACGAGAAATCAGCACAAGCCACAAGAAAATGCGTGGGAAATGTGGTTCAACGTTGTATCCTGGGTCCTTTAAACACAAAAGGGAAACTGGTGCGGTGACCTTGGAGTGCAGTCTACATAGTTGCCAAATCGTGCCGACATTCCCAGATGTGAGTCTTGCATGTCTAGTGTTCATATGCAAAATTATTTTATTTTAATTTGTGACTTCATATGTAAATTTGCTTACGAAAACCCTAAAGCATTAATTTAGAATCTAAATTATTGTTTATGGCTTTCATACGTACGATATAAATTTTCAATCATACGCAATTTTTCTCACTTAACCCCAAGAGTGTTAAAGAGCTTGAAAACCAAGGTCTTTGGACCACTAGATTTATGACAGGAGCAATGTTAGAATGCCCCCAAAATTGGTAATTAATTCAGAAAGTGCTCCCAAACTAGCTAAATCTTCCCAGCCATAACCTTAGGACTCAAAAGGGTTTATTGTGTACAGTCACCTGCACTTTTACCTAGTGCAGTGGCTGGCATGTTTTGTTAGATGTGGCAGCTTTCTGGAATTATTGTCTAACATCCTAAGTCTGGCTGCTATTCAAAGTTCCTTTGGGCCATTCCTGGAGTTTTAATACAATGTAAAAAAAGGGCACATCTCACAAAATGCACCAGCCACTGTACCAGGTATAAGTGCAGATAACTGTAATCATCGTGTGTCTGTTGTAAACCAGGACCACCCACAACTGTTGTTCTGGTTTGACACAAATGCTAGAGGAAGTCTTTGTTTCATTGTTGAGGCAGTGCAGAATTCTTTACCCAATTTAAGGATTGACCAATGTGATAGTAGTTTGGGCCCTCATGATAATGAACTTGATTAGGAATATTTGAATCGGTTAATTATTTTGGTTTTCTAATTTAGCTCCAGTTACACATGTTAGGGGCACTTAACCCTTAAATCCCAGATGTCGTTCCTCTACGTCCACCATGACGACCCCAGGTGACGTTTCTATATGTCCTTAATTTTTGTGGCATAGTTTGAATGTCCAGGTGGAACAGAG